CTGTGTGTCTCACTTTCATATCCACTGGATCCGAAATATGTTCCCGCAAGCTTTTAGCGTTTCCGCTGATCTTGCCGCTGGGATAAGTACGGTTCCGTTGTTCTTCCGCTAAGGTTCTGTCGGGAACTCCTACGGATCTTGTTTGTTTCCGGGAAACGATACGGCTCGGTTTGAACCGGGTACGGGTACGGTGAAATCCGGCCGGAATACTGCTTCCATGTTCCGGTGCGACTTCCGGTCGGATCCTGTCGGAAAGACCCCGGAACCGGTCGGAATACACCGGAAAACAAGCCGTTTCTTACCGTTTCCTCCGGGTTCCGGAGGCCGGAATCATCGACCTGGGAATGAATAAAAAAAATCAATATATTTCAGCAATTGATTTAAATATTTATTCTAAAAGTCAACATTTTCGATTATATGATTTTGTGAAACGAGGGCAAAATAATTTTCTTTGTCAATTACCTTATTTTCAATTCAACCAATCATTTGAAAATTCATATGGTACATTACTAAAAAATCAATCATTACTTATCATGTAGAACATTCAAATTTACCAGTAGTTTATCGCGAAAACAATCAATTCAAACTCAAACATACCAATCTAAAAACTGCGTCTTTATTATATCAACATAATCAAAATATGTTTACCATCATAAATCAACATTTGAAATCCTATTTTATGTTTGAAATTAGTAATGAGAAATCATCTTTGCAAAAGAATTATTTCAACTTTTCCTAAATTTATAAACTATACGATTACATCGATCTTTCACAACAACAAGTAATGAAATATACAGTGTTCGTACAAAAATTAATTACATCTGACGAAAATTGCCAAGACTATATTCAATCATGTGTTCGTGATACTTACAATAAAGATCATCTCATCTTCAACGTCGCAAGCAGCTATCGATTCTGCCCACAGAAAGGACCGCATCACAAACAAAATAGAATAACAATTTTGATAGATACGAATAAACAAATATACAATATTCGCTGTAGAGATCATAGATGCAACAATATAATCTTGACGTCAAAATCCTTTTAATAAATTTTCGCAAATGAGTCACTTCAACGTAATACGCGAAATCAATACAATTGCATTATCATTTTCCTTTCACAATACTATTTTACTATCTTAGATAACTATTACAATTTTGAGCTATCTATATCATCCTTCAAAGGCAGCTGAATGAGGAAAACTTTCATTAAAATAAAAATTCCTGTACGATCTCTTAATAGTGACAAAAACAGTGAAACTAATACCATACCGATTCACTAGCAATGGAGGTGTTTGTACTGTTCATCACAAAAACCGCTCATATTGGTATCAAATGAAAGGTCTCATTGCCAAACTAACAGGGTTAAAATATTAACGGCCCATGGCTTGCCTAAAGGGAGATATTCGATTTTTCAGTGAATTTTCTCTGCAGGACCCGCTTTCCCAGCAAAGTCATATTCTCGAATTTGAACCTGAAACTTTGTATGCTTGAANTGTACCACTAAAAGAGGTTTTTCTAATATTTGGGTGTCTGTAATTAGAGTGGGCAATTAGTGGGAGGGGGCGGAAAATCTCAGCTTAAAATTTACACACACTATTTTCTTCGAAAATATATGTGAGTTCCATAAAATTGATCCGCCATTGTTATGAGAATTTCGAAATTTAATAGCATTCGATATTTTTCAGAATCTATTATACATATTAATTTATTCTAAAAGAGATCTTCATGTGGCTTTGAAACAAGTGATCCAACATACTAAAAAAAAATAAACAGAAGCTATAAAGTTGATAACAGGGGCCAGGGATGACTATGTGGACAGTGTATAAAAGATGCTCACGCTTATGAGCGTGAGCTGTATACCAATACCCAATATAATACCTCTAGAATTTATCTCTGCCTTTTTGAGAAATCAATTACACTATTCAGTATTTTGCTGTTAATTCACTCCTGCAGATATGCTCGTTTAGGTACATACTTAGTCACACCCTCATCCTTTGTGTCCTAAATTGTACGCTGTAAGAACCATATGAATGATGATAGAATTCACTTTGAGGAAATCTTAAAGTTGAACATCACAGAAGAATCTGAGTATTTTATTTGTGAAGAGGATTTTGAAATAAGCTAATTAAAACAAATGGCTGGAAAAATATGCGCATCACTCATTTTCAGTGAGGATGGCCATATATATATTTTATGTGAATCAGAGACCGAAGCGAACCGACTTTTTTTCGGTTCTGGTTTGACTCGGTTCGACCGTATTTTGAAAAGTTCGGTTCGGTTCTACTATGCTTTTAAAAATCCCATTCGGCTGTGGTTCGGTTTCGGTCTCTGCATCAAATATATGTCAAGTCGTTTTCTCACAATGCAGCCATTCATGCATCGATGCACTTTTCATTTCGTACCTGTTTCGTAAAACATAACGGTATGATATAGAGGCGATAATTTCGCTATTAAATTTTGAATCATTTCGAGCCAAACTTCAATCCGCACATTGTTTAAAAATCAAAGTCAGATGGCTTCGCGTGAGCAACTTCATACAAAAGCTTTGAGTTAAATCAATCCGAAAGATATTATGGCAATTGAGGATTTATTCCAAACNATTTCAAAAATAATTTCAGCTTGTCTTTAATTTAGGTCAGTCGCTACAGCTAATGGAAAATAAGGGTGATTTACTTATATATTTGTATCTTTTCTTTTATTTACTTCCATTAAAAATTCAAAATGAAAATGGAAATATTAAACTTTTCTCTCTGATTATTTCGTTTTTCTATTTCGGTCCATTGGTACAATGTATTCAAAGTGAATATATCGTTTCACATATGTCTTTATAAATCTTATATTTTTCTATCTTTTTTTCAATATCAAACAAATCGTGTAAGTATAAAAATATTTTATAAATAGCTATTTCTTTTTTTTTCTATTTAGATTCGTCGCAACTATACATGAGAAAGAGCTATGAAGATCGCTTTCTGACATATGGGACAGCCCAGTCAGACAAACGCCTTGAAAAATGCGTTACAGCGAATACATATTTTGACGCTGTCATGTTGTAAGACGTTAAAATATCTTAAAATGTCGTAAAAACGCCGTATTTATGATTTCATGCATTTTGCATCTACATCTCCTAATAGAATTTCTTACGCCCCGCACCCTATACACCTCTCCAGACAAATATGTGCTATTTTTAGCACATGTACTTATAAAGATTTTAAAAATTGATCAACAATTTTTTAAAACTATGAGAAATATATACGTTATAAATTTCTAGAAAAATAAGAAATATGTTAGCAAATTTTTGAAAAACTGGAACAAAACGTTTTTAAATCATTTTTAAATTCTTTTTGAGGAAATATATTTCTAAAACAAATTTTTCCTAATTTATTTAAATATTTAAAAAAATAATTTTTATTTCCACAGAAATAATTTTTTAAATGCAAAATATTGGTATTTTTTTCATGAAGATAAAAAATGTAATAACAATTCTTCCGCTTACCTTTATATCACCTTCAGTTTCCTATAAAATTTCGTTCGATTTAAGTAGCATTTCTTACTTCATCGTCTTATCGTACGGCTGACCGAATGGATAACATCTTGGACTATCAACCAATTCATCTCATGATCGAACCTAGGACAGCGCAGTTAGTTCCAAAACCTTAATTTTAATCTGGTAGATAAATTACAAAAATCCCCTGTGACATGCATTGTAAACACAAACGAAAAAAGATCATAGTGTACTCATTTGTGTTTTAATTCTTTTTCTGAAAGATTGTTAGCACGCTTTTTAAGGCGCTTGTCTGAATGGAAATTGTAATAAACCCTTTTTGGGTATGGAACCAAAGTAATAAACCCTTTGGAAGGGTTTATGAAAGTGCAACGTATCATAAACCCTTGAAGGGTATATTAATATACGGCTTTTCTTTTACAGCATACTTGGAGTTACTTCAAGCTACTCTAAGCTGGTTTAAGCCTAATTTGATTAAAGTACTTTCTTATACTTTGCCGTACTTTTCTACTTCAAGTCTGCCTTTTCCCCCTTGGATACAAAGCATTAACAAACTTTATTTCACTTTGAACAGAATCTCTCAGCATTTTTCGATGTACTTTTATCCTTTAGATTTTTAATTACGGTTTTTCGTAAGTTTTACATTTCTTAAAATTAAAACTACTTGAGATGACGACAAAACTCTAAATCAAAAGCGTTTTCCCAGAAACCGAAATTCCTTCGGAAACCCTTTCAGAAACTCACAAACGTATCCGGAAAGGTTTTCGGCTCTAAGTTGAGTTTTTGAAATCATCTTATTGGTTTCCAAGGCCCCCGAAACGGTTCGGTTTTCGATAGTTCGGATAGGAAACCATTAACAATATTCTCAGAAACCATCAAACAATATTCGAAATCGGAAAATTATCCCCGGAAACCGTTCTCGTTTTGAAAACCTTCTCGGAAACTTAAAGCGTGTCTTCAGCAACCTGTTGGTTTTGAACAACTTTTTGTTCTAGAACCTTTTGGGTTTCCGGAGATTGGAAATATTGAAAGGGTATGCCAGAATACTAGCTTGGTTTCCGAACATATCTCGGAAATCCTTCCAGATTTCCAAATTATTAGAAACCTAGGAGTTTCCGAGAAAATGTCTTGGAAACCGGGGTGTGGGTGTGAGTAGGAATAAGTGTCCATCGAGACCCACACTCACACCCTCAAGATAAGACAACTATGCTCTTGTCCTTAATGATCCCACTGTCCATGACTAAAATCTAGAATACTTCGTTCGACTGTATCGATATAGTCTCAGATTTTAATGTCACTCTCTTCATTAGACAGACAAGATGATTAGTCATATTTTGAAACTCACAGCGTTCTGCTATAAAACTTTTCTGTCTCACGAATCACCAATCGTGATAACCGTTTGATATAAATGACTGAACAAGGAAACATTAAGATATTTGTGAAAAAATATGCATTTTATCTTTTAGAAATAAGTATTCACTTAATCGATATAAAAAATGTCCGCTGAATCTAGGCCAGATGTTTCTTACACCGCTGTACCAACAAAGTAAGTCAAATGTGAATTAATGACGAAATAAAAAACACACTTACATGTGCATACTGAGAAAATGTTTTTGTCGAACAGTTTTGTTTGATGTAATTATTCTGTTGATAATCATTCTAGTGAACCGTCGCGACCAAGGAACCGGTGCACATATCTGTTGGTTGGTACTATTATTATTTTATTAATATGTGGTGCTATCGGATATTTCCTTTTACGTCATGAACGACGAAAGGAAACAATCCATACACAAACAATAACAACAGGTATGCATTAAAGACTTCTCCCAAACGAACGAAGCAAACCAGTAATAGTCTCTAACTAAATAATTCATTTAGACGATGATACCCAAGATCTGTGTACAACTCCAGAATGCATCCAAGCAGGTAGGTACCTTGAGTTACGTTTTTGAAATATTTTTATTATCCTTTTAGCACACGCTCTTCTCGAAAGTATTGACGAAACAGTCGATCCCTGTGAAAACTTTTATCAGTTTAGTTGTGGGAAATGGATTAAAAATGCAAAAATACCAGCTGAGAGTAAGTGCCTTCGCTAACAAAATGAAGACGAAAATTCACCTCTTTGCAGATTCCAAACTAAATTCACTATCGCAAATGAAGACAAATTTGCAGAATGCACTTGTTGGTATGTGTTATTGCTCTTCTTTTTATCCGTTTTAACTCCATTTTCATCCTATATTTCAATTTGAATCGACAAGAATCAAACAAAGCAGAAAAAGAAAAAAAAACACACATAAAAACGTATATCCCTTTTTATATTTCCTTTCATACGTTCTCTCCTCTCATATCTCATCACATACCGATGACGTTTCTTTTCTTGCACAGGGATAAATTTAGTACATGAAGAGAGACAAGAGAGAGAGAGAGAGAGCGAGAGAGAGAAACATCAAAGAATGCAATGGATGCCACCATAACGAAACACAAAGCAGAATATAGAAGATATATTCTAACTAAATTTATATCATGACCATCGGCCATGACAGTATGGCCGATTATCTTTATTCTTTAATATTTCTACTAGACAAACATCTTGTAAGCAAGATCTTGGCCAAGATACAAGGTACAGATATGTTAACAGATCTTGGAAATTCAGGTACAAGATAACTGTATTATCTTGTACCCAAGATATCNCAGCTGTGTATGCATTTAAAAAACGGTGAATGACTAGAGAGCATGTAAATACAGTAATGATGTCGCTTCTGTTTCGTTCAAGATCTTATCAGAAGATAATAGTACACGATATTTTCCCCATGATCTTACTAAGATCTTAAGTACAGATTTATCGGATACAACCAAGATATGTACATACAAATTATCTTTTTAAGATCTTAATAAGATCTTACTTACCGATCCCAAGATTTTCAAATCTCGCTTACAAGATGTTCGACAAGGGTCCTCTTATTCATTTTTAAAGATTTGCTTTCATCATCACCAATCAATGAAAGAACAGAACCAAAAGCAATTATCAATGCTCGCCGTTGGTACAATTCATGTATCAACGAAAGTGCAATCGAAGAGGAAGGTGTTGATGTCATACTTTCATTCATCAATAAAGAACTTGGTGGATGGCCTATCTTGTTAGGTGATAAATGGGATGGATCAACATTTGACCCCTATCGTGTAATACTCACATTAAGTCAATATAATCATTTCATGCCATATAGAGTAGAGACAACTATCGATCTCAAGAATTCATCATTGCGAAGCATTAGAGTGAGACTCAGTACTTAGAAATGTTGATGATGATTCTTTATCTTTCAGATAAAGCCATCTATTGATTTAACAGTCAATTTGATACCCACGACCGTAGATCTCGAAAAAACTGCAACTTACTTAGCAATCTTCCAGAAGTTTGCTGCAGCATTGGCCAAGGATTCATCAACAATCACGATTGATACTTTAGGTGTATTAAAGCTTGAATTGCGAATTCAACTAGTAAATCTTTTTTTTTCAAGTATATTTTTACTATATTTTTGGTAAATAGGCTTATCTTAGGAGTCAAATTCTATCGCTAAACATTGTTCTTCGTGCATCAATTGGTAATCTTGCTCTTGCAAATTTCCTAGGTGTAAGTATAGATTCTCACATTAAATACTGTGTTCTCGTCATATCCTTATTTAGCATGACTTCATTAATTATGTTGAATCCCTTTATCGATCTGCAAATGTATATCTGATGGATACAGATATTGTAACAGTGATTTTTCCTGAGATCATTCATGCTATTACATCAATTTTTGAAGAAGAATCACCTCGTACTGTACAGAATTTTTTAATATGGCACTTTATGATTGATCAAGCTTGGAAAATGCCAAAGAAATTTAGAGATTTGGAACAACAATATAGACGTTTATTTGATATGATAAGTGAGGAGAAGGCGCGCACAGTCAGATGTGCTGAATATCTCGGTGAAACTATGGGGCCTGTGATCTCTATGACTTATACAAATAAATATTTTAATAAGGATAGTCGAAAAGAGGTGCTTATAATACCGAATCGTTATAAAGTTATCGTCCATCGTTCTTTCTTTTTTTCTAGCCTAAAGCCATGGTCAACAATATTCGTGATGTCTTTATTAATATGGTCAATCGATCGACATGGATGGATTCGCACTCAAAAACTTGGACAATTAAAAAAGTAGGATGATCAATAAAATAATCATACAATAATATTACAATAAATTTTATACAGGTTCAAGATATAAAATCAAAAGTTGGTTATCCTGATTATTTTGAGAACGCCTACATGATTCAACTTGAGAAACAATATGCTGACGTATAACCAAAATAATTTATAATTTTTCTTCATAATATTTTATATATATTTTTTTAAAATCTAGTATAATTTCAATTCATCTTTGATGTTAAATGCTTTGAAATTAATTCAACTTAATTCAAAAAATTCACTTCGAACACTTCGTGATCCGGTTGATAAAGACGAATGGATGATTACTCTACCAACAACTCTCACTGCCACATATCACATATTACTAAATGATATTAGTAGGAGATGCTTTCTAACAATAACATTTAGTTTATTCGATGCCTTCTTTAGCTATTCCTGCAGCTTTTCTTCAAAAACCACTTTTCAGCAACAATCTACCAAAGTAAAAGGGATATTTTTTAATATTGCAATGTATTTTTGGCATTTGATAGGTACATCAACTATGGTGGTAGGGATAAGTTCGATTTGAAAATAAAATGAGTAAATAGGTACTCTCTTTAGGAATTGGTTTTGTTATTGGACATGAGATGGTACATGGTTTTGATGATGATGCACGAAGATATGATATGCATGGGAATGAATTTTCGCTATGGACCAATATGACAATTGAAGCATTTCATGAACTCAAACAGTGTATAGTCGATCAATACAACAGTTACACATTGGCTCAAGTTAATCAACAGGTTTCCTTTTTGTTTTCTTTAATTCTCAGCTTGTTCCGACAAATATATTTTTGTCATTTAGGTGAAAGGTGAACGTACAAAAGATGAAAACCTTGCTGATATTGTTGGGTTGAAACTGGCTTTCTACGTAAGTTTCATCATTCATTAATTGCAAATTCGAAGGTTTTTATTTTCAAGGCTTATCGAAAATGGGCTCAAAGTCATAGAAACGTCGACAAAAAATTGCCAGGTCTTACAAAGTATTCAGCCGAACAAATATTTTTTCTTAGTTTTGGTCATGCATGGTGTGAGAAAATGTCCAACGCTGCTGCAGAGTCTTATTTGATAGCAGATATACATTCACCTCCTGAATTCAGGTAGACTATTCATTTCCCACAGATCGTTATGTATTCTCATGAATGAGTTTTGTCTTTAGAGTAATTGGTTCTACGTCGAATTTCGTCGAATTCGATCAATCATTTGACTGTAAACCTAGTCAAAGAAATAGTCGAGTAGACAAATGTAATGTGTGGTAATACACGGTTACTCTTATTTCGAGTAGTGACAACGAATAAGATATTGACATTTAATTATTCAAACTCGTTATATTTATCCATGATCATATTACGTTTTTATTGTATTCTCATTGTTATGCGTGATATTTTTCATTATTTAATAATAATCTAAATTCACTTTTTTTGTTTCCGGTGGTTATCAATTGTTTGCTAAACGATTGACTAAAATAAGTAATGATTCCCGTAACTCATAGAGTTCAATTGAATAGATCTAATACAATGTAAATATTTTTCGAAAGAAAAAGCGTCTGAACCGCGTTTTGTTTCTATCGGAATCACATCCATGAAACGCATGGAAGCGTATTCCCAGTGATGCATTTCTTACGTTCAGACGTATTCCGTCACAGAAAAAAAACGAGGTGTAGTACTGAACCCAAAAAGGAATTTTAGACGGAAAAAAGATTTTGAGTTCGTTTCAATTCTCGGAACCATTTTAGGTTCGGTAGAGACCACTATGAAAAATTCGAAAAATTGTCCTGAGCCAATAACAAGCAATTTTAGACAGTTGAAGTTTGGCGCGAAACCTTTCGAGGATTTCGTGCTGCCGACTAAAATAGTTTGGTACAGCGCAGAAAAAACTGTATGATTTCGAAACCATTTTGGTAGGCAATACGAAAACCTCGAAAGGTTTCGCGCCAAACTTCAACTGTCTAAAATTGCTTGTTATTGGCTCAGGACACTTTTTCGAATTTTTCATAGTGGTCTCTACCGAATCTAAAATGGTTCCGAGAATTGAAACGAATTCAAAATCTTTTTTCCGTCCAAAATTCCTTTTTGGGTTCAGTACTCCACCTCGTTTTTTTCAGCGTTGAGAAATCGTGTCTAGACGCAGTTCTGATGCAGCGATCGCGTCCGGACGCGTGTGGACCGATAGACGAAATTTTAAAAAAATGTATTACAATCCTTCTCAGTTTTGATCTGATTTGCCATCATTATTCCTAACGATGGTCTCTACCTAACCATAGATCAACGGAAAATTTAAGCTTTACTGTTTCTACAAAGATAGAAGGTATATTAGAACAAATGAGCTCTTGATTAGAAGACAAGTGTACATACCAGTGAATCACATGTGATCACAATCAATTTTTGAGTCGAATAAAGAGAATCTTGCTGAAAATACAATTTCAGTGTAATAGTTGCGTTTATCAGTTTGATGGCTAAAATATCAATTGATTCTTTCAAGTCGCTTTGATCAACTGGCCATACGAAACAATTTATTAATTTAACATCAGTGTGGGTGTGGGTGTGATTTCCATTTATTCTCACACCCACACCCTTTTTTCTTATGATCTGTATCTTTCTGTCTTTAGAAACAATGGTTTCGACCCAAAACAAAAAGAAGAGCTCGCGGACAAAGTGAATTAAATACAGAGTTAAGCATATTACCAGTATTTGCTCTTCTAAATAATTATGAAATTTATCTTAAATATCGATCAACAACTCGTATGCTTTTGCATAGTTTAAGTGTACTAGTCAGAAAAACAACTGAATTTACTATTGAAATAGAGCATGATTTTTAAACAACAACAATTAATAGTGTTATTGATTGAAATACAACATGTACCGCATCAGTGCTCGACGCTATTCTGGTTGATAAAATCGCTTTTAAAGTTAATTTTTAATTCAAGCAATACTATATTTTCATGTGGTAATATGGACTTCTCACATTAGAAAAACTACATCATATAAATAATATTGTTATGCAAAAAGCTTTAAAAATGGGCATAATACTATGTTAAAGCAAGAATCTGGTGGTCAGTCAATATCTGATACTATTATCCATTTAAAAATAGAAGAGATTCCATTGCTTTTTGAATAGCTTTTGAACGGAACATGATAGATAGCTGCGGTTTTTACCATTGGGCAGAGAAATGTTGGAGGCAGCTTTCAATGCCAAAATTTGATTGGTGCATTATGAACCAATCAGATGAAATTTCAACGGACATTTTGCAAACAATATTTTGAACGCAATTCTGATATTGTTATGGATTCTCTCGTGACCATTCGGTAGAAAGAAAAATGTTCTCTTCCGATCTAGACAAGGCCGAACTTTCTATCTCATTTAGTTGAGGAGTTATACGGGTTTTATTGAGACCCCCGATTTCGACTAATTCAAGTAGAATCATTCGGAAAACAACCTTGAGAGGGGCAATTCACTACGCTGAGTCAAGTGGCAATGTTTATTTTTCGATTCAAAACACATTCACGTTATAACTTCAATATTCCTTAAATTATTACTCCAACCGCTAGATGGTGCCAGAATGAAAAATTTGAGGAATATTGAAATTATAGCGTGAATGTATTTTGAATCGAAAAATAAACATTGCCAATCAACTCAGCGTAGTGAATTACCCCTTGTGACGACAGCAACGTCACTGATCTTGTCTTGATGTTTGTTATATCATGTATGTTTATTTCTCTTCTGTGCTGTTCTCTCTTGTTGCTTATTGTTGCGCTTGTTATTTTCAACATTGACCCCTCTTTCGTTTTTTGCGCTTAGACTCAGAAAAATGAGATATATACTTAATCTTTTCTTCTCTTCTAGTTTCTTAGAAGCTTCTTGATATACCTCCCTTCACTGAGATATATACTAATTCTTCTTTTTCTTCTCTGACCACTAATTTTCTTCTCTATCAAAAAGAATCCTCTTTTTGATCAATTACATATTACCTTTTTCTTTTCAACTTGACTGTTCTTTACAATCAATCTAACTCGATTGCCCCTTACAATCGTTCGAACGCGTGTCAGCTATTTGCTTGTGGAGTTCTTCTTATTCTCAACTATTTCTGTTCATTGAATAAACAATTGGATCTTCATCCAGTATTCAATACTATTTAATTTTCATCGTTGTCATTCTGCCATAACCAATACTGTGACATCTGGCATTATTATTAGTTACGTCTCTGATCCTCATCTAGGCGCTACACCCATCTCAAGGTTGTTTTCCGAATGATTCAAGTAGAATCATTCGGAAAACAACCTTGAGAGGGGCAANAAAGCTGCCTCCAACATTTCTCTGTCCAATGGTAAAAACCGCAGCTATCTATCATGTTCCGTTCAAAAGCTATTCAAAAAGCAATGGAGACTCTTCTATTTTTAAACGGATAATAATAATATGCTACATAGCACAGGGTTTACGTTGAACGAATTCCTCGATAAAAACCTAACAAAAAGCAATTGGAGCCGGAATCTTGATTCTAAATTTACAAATAGATACTATGGACTAAATCTGAAGGAAGAAAGCTTCTTTCCATCGCTTTTAGGTCGATCGCTTGTATTGTTAAAAGCACAATTTGAATATGATATAAGATGTTTTTCAGAAATTTTAACATTTAAAAAAATATTGTGTAATCATTCATTAGGTCGTCGCCTTGTTTTAGGTGATGAAAATTAACCAACAAGAATATCATCATCAAGTGCAATAATACGACCAATAGCACCAATTATAATTAAAATAACAACAAATAAGCAATTATGTAAAGAAGCTCGGGTACTTGTAGCAATACAATTAAGAGAATTTCAAATATATATGCGTATGTCAAATGTTATGGGCAAAGTCGAATGGAATACAACTCATGTTTGTTCAACTGGAAGTTTAACATTAACAAATACAGGACAAAGATCAATTTTCTTTTCATTAGGTCTTCAAAAATCTATATTTCAAGTTGAACAAGGCATTGTTGGAGGAACTTTAAGATTAAAACATCTTAGAACTACAAGTAATTTATTTTTCTTAATATAGAAAATTATTAAAATAATTCAATTAGCAATAAAATGAGCATAAGTGTAACAATACATAGATATTTTTTTATTGAGAATTCTGTATAATTCAAAAATATAAAATCACCCCACATCCACACCCACACTCTAACATATAAGAAAAGAGAAAAGTTTTGCATGTTGTGAATATACAAAAAGATTTAAAAAAGCAAGAAACGTTAAAGCGATGTGGGAAGAAATCAAAGAGCACAAACGTTTATTGAGAAAGAAGACAATAATGTTTCATCGAATTGAATTCTTTCTTCTACACTGTAAAAATATCCACAGAATAGTAAACGGAAAAAAGTTTTTGATAGGACGCTTAACAAAAAAAGGGTTTATAAAGTGCAACGCATCATAAGCCCTTTTCCCCGTACATGACGACGATTATAAACCGGTATTTAGGTTTATGATTTGGAAAAAAAGTTTATCAGATATTTCAAAAGCGGAAACCAGAGTTTGTGTCACGTTGCACTTCATAAACCCTTTTTTTTACAGTGTACCGCTGTTTTCAGATAGACGCAAAAATAATTGTCGTTCGCATAGCTTGTTGATATATGCAAACGGATCACTAGCGCATGATTCAATTCCTTTTCATTTGCCTGCTGTTCTGATGGAAGTAGGAATACCTATACAGTTCCTTCTTGCTGTCGATTAACGCGTGACAAATATATTCGAAAAGTATGTCTCCGTTCTCCTTTACAGGTGAAAATACTTGGGTACTGCTGTTTCGTTTGACGAAGCCAACTCGAGTATATTCAAGATCGAATAGAACGGAAGTAGGCATTTGTTGAATGAAAGGTTCTGTTTCTAAGGTATACAAAAATTTCATTTTCTAGCTAAAATGGCCATTTGTGACGATGGGCTTGAAATGCTAACGCATGAGAGTGCCTATCTCGAGACATTTCATCTTGTTTGGCTTGATACCACAGAGAACGAGTCATACAATGAGAAGATGATTGCTCGGCAGCAACTCCGCACGATCTTCAAACATCTAAAGATATTTAAGAATCCCAACGAATGCCAAGAGTACATGGAGAATATGACAAATACCGATCGAATTGTGCTCATTGTCGATGGTCAATCAAGTCAACAGATCATTCCTCGCGTTCACGAACTGCGGCAAGTGTCCTCAATCTATGTTTACGAGAGTAACGATGACGCGTTGGCGACTTTCAGACTCAGCCAAAAGATCAAAGCAGTTAGCGCCGAGTTCGATTGCATTAGAACACAGCTTGTGTCAGATCACCAGCATCGAACAAGACGACGTTACCAAGAAGTCGACGAGCCTATTTCAATCAGTATTTTCAATACGAGCCTCATGTCCGATCAATCGTCAACAGGACTCAATGGTCAATTCATGTTTTCACATTTGCTCATTGACATTCTACTTCGAATGCCATCGACTGATACGGACAAAAACGAACTGATTGCTCTGTTTGAAGAAGAGTTTAGCGGCAATTTGGCCAATCTTGCTACTTTGAACGAGTTCAAACAAACATATTCATCTAAGCAAGCTCTGTTGTGGTACACGAAAGAGTCATTCTTGTATCGCTTATTGAACAAAGCTCTTCGGGTTCAAAACATTGATTTGCTCTTTCTCTTTCGATTCTTCATTCATGACATTCATCAACAACTCCAACAACTGCGATGTTCGAGCCCGATTCGCGTCTATCGCGGACAGGCGATGTCGATAGAAGAACTAAATGTACTACAAAGTTCTATTGGTCAGCTCATTTCCATGAATTCATTTCTTTCGACGAGTGCCAATCGTGATCTGGCACTCTTTTACTTGGGCAACTCGACGGCACTCGACGCCTCACCACGAGTTCTATTTGAAATCGATGCCGATCCTCGACTAGATAGTGCTATGCCATTCGCCAATATCACTGCTCACAGCCACTTTCCAGACGAAGAAGAAATTCTCATGATGCTCGGCAGCATCTTTCGCATTGAATCTATTCAACACCAACGAGAAAAAGACAGTCAATTAGTCCACATCGTTCGAATGACATTGTGTAGCGATAACAATCACAATGCAAAACTTGTCTATGAAACAATGAAAAGTGAACTTGGTGTCGACGGCACCGAAAAAACAAGTCTCCTTCACTTTGGAGATGCACTGAATGAGATGGGGAAATTTAATGTGGCCGACAAGTATTTTCATCGCTTGCTCTACCAACTCCCGAATAATCATGCAGATATTGCTCATTGCTATCATGGTCTTGGAGAAGCGGCTACTGGCAAAGGCGAATATGAAGCTAGTCTCGAATGGCTTCACAAAGCACTCGAAATTCGAATACAAACACTACCATCGGACCACGATGACATTGGGCAGACCCACAATTGTATCGGCATTTCATTCGAAGGCCAAGGCGAATACAATTTGGCGCTCGAGTCCTATGGTAGAGCTTTGACTATATGGCAACTCACAAAGGACAAGAATTATCATCGAGTGGCCTGGTGCCTCAACAATATTGGCGTTGTCTATCAAAAAGAAAAAAAGTATACTGAATCACTCGAGTACCAACAAAAGTCACTAAGTATCAAAGAGAAAAATCTTCCAACTGATCATCCAGACATTGCGGCATCACTGCATAACATTGGCGATGCTTATTGTTCTCTTGGTCAACATGATACAGCTTTAGAATATTACGAGCGAGCTCTTAATATTTTTCGAAAGTCTCTACCTGATCATCATCCTCACATTGCATACACATTGGGCAGCATCGGTCACCTGTATGAGAACACAAACGAGCTTCAAAAAGCCTTGTTTTACTTGCAAAAATCATCGGATGTTTATCGGCAAATACTGCCTGCGACCCACCGTTATCGGATCAAAATTGAACAGAGCATCCCACGAATAATAGAAAAAATGGAGCCTTCTCTTACCACATCTCACTGAGTTCCGTATTTGCACCCTAAAAATTTTCTTTTCATCAGGTCTTCACCTGAAATGTAATTGCTTGATCGACGTATATGCTGTCGTTCGTTATTTATTAAAAGAGGGCCTATTGGAAAATTAAGCACCTCCTAAAAGATCCTACCATGAAAATTTTTGACATATGACTTTCCTTGTAGGAAGCGGAAGAGTTTGATTGAAAGCTGAGATATTCGAATTTTTAGAGTTTTATATTTTCTACTTCATTCATGACGGTGATTTGATGATACGGATCATTCAGGATAAAACTCCTCAGGATCTCTCCATTATGTGACGAGATACCTCCACTGTTGTTCTACGTTGTCTTTCATTGGATTGAACAATACAAATATGTATCTTGAAGACTGACTCGCCAGGCTTTTTTTGCACAGCAATAGACAAGTTCCTTTTCTACTGATCGATTGACCCAAACTCATCAGACTAAGCGTAAACAATCGCAATGAAAAACGTTGCATTACAGCATCGGTTAATAAATCTATAATAGTACAGAAAACAAAAATGATTTAATGAAAACAAAACTGAAGCAGGGTTATGACTAAGGCAAAAAAATGTTATACTGTTAAAAAAATCACAATATCAAAGTTTGAAAGAATAAGTTTATTCATATCCTATCATTTCATTATGCCAATAGTAATTGGTAAAATAAACATGATCAAAGCCAAATTCATAATTTTCATCCTACCAACATTATACGATGTTCTTAATGCAGTAGCACTACAGTATCCAACATTGGTATTGATAAATGCTATGTAAGAGTTATCTAGACCCAATTGAACACGAATCGGCTCTCCATACTACGTAGTGAGTATTTGAAAACTTGTTGGCATTGGTATTGTCAGAAAAATAGTGGTTGGAGAGCCAGTACACATACCAGTCGCGCTGCCTGTCATTTGCAACTGATTATTAGTTGTTTGGAAGAATTTAACTTGATTCGATAAACAACAACATCTGGTTGTATCGCATTCACCATCCATTAGAAATGTACCGATCCAATTGGGCGTAGAAGATATTGCACCTTTTATGAAAATAGAGAAAAAAATCAAGAGAACTGTGCTTCTCCTTGGTAACTGAGACAGCTCGCTCAGAATGCCAAAGGTAATATGTATGTTAAAGTGTCAAGTTTGTAGGTTTCACAGGAGTTTTGAGTTTCATATTTCTACATATATGTTGCTCGCCTCAAATGATTATCGGTGGAAATACCCATCTCTAACAAATACGTATTCGTCTAAGCGAATATTATCTTGCGTGTCTATCTACTACGTTGTTGTACCTACACTAAATAATGAGTTCAAAAAAGAAAAGCAAAATTTTGTCAATTAATCATGTAAAATATCGATGTTCATTTTGCAGGCGTATGCAAAAATCGAAGTATATCGTTCCTTTGGCAAGCAACCAGTATTTATTATTAGTTGATGAGAGTATTTTATAGTGCAGTTTTTTCGCTTTTATTTGCTTACCTAAAGGACATGTTTTGAGAAGAGCAACTGGGACTACAACAGCAACCACAAGCAAAACACCAATTATCAAACCAATAGCAAGTCCAATCATACATTGTTTTGAACAGAAACTCGGATGTTCACTAAAATATTAAACAAAAATAAAATATCTCGTAAGAATTAGGATGTAATCAAGTTCGACGCCAAATTCTAGCATTGTCTATCTGTCCGAGAAAAAAATTCCTCAATAAAATCACGATGTTGACCAGTTTAATTGATTCGCAAAAGTCATCCAGTTGGTATGCATCAATGCCATAAACGGTTTGGCATTAACAGCTCGATTAAATCGGTCAACGCTCCGATTTTCTATGCTACAATTTGGGTGGTCTATGAAAACCTAATAGACGCTCTAATTCTCGTGGTTCATTTTAGATCGGTTGAAAGCTGATTTTGACGAACATAAGTCAAGAGGTCTCATTTGGGCTAGTTGACCATATCTAGGCTTTTCTCAAAGTCAAAGTTTTTTCTTTTTCATACATTCCTTCACACTTCATATACCGAGATTTGTATTGTAAAAACCTGTAATATCGCAAGACAGAGCCGTTGTAGATACTGTAGTTTTGTTAGAAAAATTTCTCCATTGCTATTAGAAGAAGATTAGAACGCTTACGATTTAGAAGTTTGGTGCTTATCATCATTTCTTGTTTCCTGATGTTCATATTCTTGATGATACGGTCTTAATGCTATCGATGAAAATCTGTGATTTTGCAGTTGCATGTCGTCCAGGTAATCAAAATTCATTCCAATGCGAACACCATTAGCGGCGTATCCACGTGATGCTGCCATTGCAATTCGATGCTGAAATTAGTTTATCAAAGGTTCTTTCAATGTTAATTGAAAGTTCTAACAACGCTGTTCAGTTTAATCATTTAAATACCAGCGTACTGAATAAGCAACACTTTTTTCAAATTTCTTAATTTTTGAATAACTCGCGAACGCGACATGATATCGAGGTGCAGTTTTCGCTATGACATAGACAGCAGTGGGTAGATTTCCAAAAAAGGAAATTTCCTAGCTAAATATGCATATTTCGGAAATTACAGGGATGAAAAATTCAAGTTTTAGAAAATATCAGAAACTTTCATAATAACAGCAATATTATTTATCATAAGCCAAAACCAAAATAAAGTAATTTCGTATAATTTCTATATTAATATCCTCTAGGTTTAAGAAAAAATATGTAAACAGATTTAAAGACCCTAACCTCAAGAACTCGAGAATCTACTCTGTGTTTTAGTTCTAATTTGCTTCCATTTTGAAATTTCTGTTGGCAGTCTTGTTGTCTTTTAATAGTGTGATAGATATTTGTTATTTTCGGAAATTTACTTTTTCGGAAATCTGAACATACCTCATCAATGTATTAACTAATCGAAGAGCAAAATCCTCATGTGTTTTTTTCATATTACAATGCCATCTGCTTGAAAAATGGCTTGTTCTCCTCTGTTGAGCGGTACAATTTATTTACAGTAAGTGAATTCTACAAACAGAAATTTGAGCAATGATAAGCTTTTATCTGAATATCGACGGAACGATAAAATGTAAACCGATACACGGTATGAATTTGCGATGCCTACCTTACTTTCACCTTCGAATGTTTGACGTCAATAATAAATTTAAAAACTCGTCCAACCACGCTCACAAAACAAATAAACAGTCGAATTTATGCATTTCTCGTTCTCCCAATAAAAGCACTTATTTATTCCTGTTCAATTTTCCTCTTGGTTACACAGAAAGAGAAAAAAAATTGACACTAATGCTCTTAAGGCCCTGGTACACCCTATAAAAGTCATTTTTTGATGGAAATATCGAGTTTTCGGTTTTGTTTAATAAATGGAGACCACGGTTGCATCCTCCAAATATAATATCCAAAAGTTAAAAAATATTGATGTTTCGCAAGCTCTGACGTGATTATGACCGACTCGCAAGGGGGGGAAAGCGGCTCCTGGTGGCTTCTGATGGATTCTAGAATCCACAAGAATCCACCAGGATCCATTTTGATTAATGAATTTATATCAATATTTTAAACAATTTTCAGTTGCTAAAGAAAACAACGAGACTCATATATGTCGGATCTATATGACTTTGATCGAGTTTTGAAAAAATTACGAAAGTGACCATGCATTTTGTTTACAGATCTAAATGGTCTATCTATCGTTTCTTGAATCTAAATGCTTAGAAAAAAACTTACAGATTTTATTGTACACAGAAAGAGAAGAGCTGAAGGATTCATTGTTCATATTATTCTATGACTGAGAATGTGTTACAATAGTCCTGAAAAAGATATTTAGCCTTTTTGTAATATAGACAATATTGTTGGAAAAATAATATTATTTTGTTTCTACCGGTGACTTTGTCTGTGTATTGATTAATTCATCATGTTAAATTGCAAAGTTCTAACAAGTACATAAATATGACTGGGTTTACAACGATCGGTTCAAATATATGAACTGACAGCTATGAACAAGTTTTGTTTCAAATATAGTAGGGAGTGCTAGCTATTGCAAAAAGTGAAAAAATACATGGATTATTGCTACTTACTACATAGTTAATAAATTCATCACTCTATCCCATATTCTTATGAAAAAAGATTCAAATTTCATGTTTTCATGTGATTTACAAGTTATATTTTTAACCTTTCCCTTGACAGCTAAAAGAGTTGTTGGATAACCTTTTACAGGATGTTAATGATTACGAAACTTCATGTTGCGAAGACAAATATCATGCTAAGAAGCTACAATAGAAAACCTTAAAAAGCAGCTTTGCCTAACTGGATAAGCCATCATTTTCGACTAAAAAAAGCAAGCGACAGCGATAAGGAGTAGATACTGATCTTCACATATCTTCAAATATCCACTAACACCATAGGAATCCACTGGAATCCAGCAGGGTCCAGTAGAATCCAGTAGAATCCATAGAATCCATAGAATCCATAGAATCCATAGAATCCACTAGGATCCACAGAACCCGCCAGAATCTACTAGGATCCATAGAATCCGCCAGGATCCATGAGGAGCCGTGAGAATCCAAGGAGNCTTTTCCCCCTTGCCGACTCGCCTATAGCCTTTCGAAAATACCCTACGCAATCAACGTATAAAAACATGTTCATTATCAAGTAATAGCCCGTTCCGGGAGCTGGGGTAAAAAAACGGGAAATGAGTGTCATATGCAACTTTTTTCGAGGTAAGGCGGTTGTGTGAAGTGAGCACAACATGTAAGCATAAGAAATTATGCTCACTTCAGCTAGGAGTAATAAGCCAATCAAACAACGAATCCTTTTTTTACCATCATCCAATCATCTCTCTCGATGTCGATGGAGTGGAATAGCCATTGTAACATAATAATGGGTATCCACTATTTGTGAATTACTAGTAATGTGAATCTTTTTAAAAATTTTATTATGTTCATGATAGCATATAAATTGATTGTTAATAGCAAACTTTCTGGAAACTGTATTCATAGCTATTATATATTTAAAAAAAATTGAAAACAAAAAAATTGAAAATTTTCTTTAATCAAAAAAATAATTAAAATAATTTAATAAATAATTAAAAAATCATGAATCGATTTAATATTCGAACAGTTAATGGCTCTAGGCATAATGGTCTTCTTGAACATCGTTATATTAAAATACAAAATCGTGCGGCTGCAGCTCTTGGTGCATTAGATGAAGATGGTGAATCTCTAGAACTTATTGCTCATCTCCATCGGCTCTCAATTGAGCAAATAAAAAAAGACTTGTATGGTGAACCATCTGATATAAAAAATGGATTTGATATTCGATCAAGTAATAAATTAGAGGAAACCCTTAAAACGTGCTTAAAAGAAATAAATAAAAGAGTAAATAATGCTTTGGTAGCTGTTGTATATCATGTACCATACACACTTTTATGCTCTGTTGAAAATAATAATAATAACCCGTGTAAAAAAATTTAGGGTAGAAATCAGATTAAAATCGATTGAAAAATGATTGAAAATCGACTATAATCGTACACCTTTAATCGATCTTTAATCGACTGGGAATCGATTATAATCAAAAATAATCCAAAAAACAAAATTTTCATCGATTATTCCTATTATTTTCGATTATAATCGATTAAAAATTTATGAAAAAATCGATTATAATGGATGAAAATTTTGTTTTTTGGATTATATTTGATTATAATCGATTCCCAATCAATTAAAAATCGATTAAAGGTGTACGATTATAATCGATTTTCAATCATTTTTTCAATCGATTTTAATCCGATTTCTACCCTAAATTTTTTTACATGGGAATATAAAAGAAGCAGCAGCAAAATTTTTAATTGATATAAGAAAAAAAACAAATTGTTTAAATCTAGCAACAGTTGAAAAACTAATGATGCTAACGAATCTTTGGATCAGTGTAAAGGTAGCACGACGGAGCTAGCATGATGAAACAGAGATTCAACTATAAGTCTTCTCAGGAGTATTGCCGGCCCATAAAAGCCAGCCCATTCAGTGCAGNGACGGTGATACTTTTATTCCCCGGCAATACTTTGAGAAAATTCTATCCGGTTTTTCTTGTCCTATTTAGAAGAAAACAAAGGTGTAGGTAAAATTTCTTCCTAAGTATTGCCGGGGAATAAAAGTATCACCATCCGATCCATAATTAAATTCTGCATCGAATGGTTCGGTTTTTATGGGTCGGCAATACTCCTGAGAAGACTTATAGTTGAATCTCTGTTTCATCGTGCGAGCTCCGTCGTGCTAGCTTCACACTGATAATCTTTGGCAGTGAGTTTTGATAACGAAAGATGCTCGATATAAGCTATTTATTTTTTTAGGACTCTACAAAGGAAAACTATTCTAATGTAAGATCATTAAATGCTATTGATGATCAATAGATTGTTACCAAATCAACTATATCTAAGCGACCATGTAAATAAATCCTAGATATTTTTTGTTGCTGTTATTGAATCATGTTTGCTTTCTTTAGCACCATGTAAAACACCGAAACATGTAGTTAATATTTTCTCATCAAATAAATTTGTAAAAGAGAAATGGAAATCAATCAAGGTTCTCGGTAATAGTCTATCTAATCATGATAAATATGGAAAATCAAAAATTATTTGCTTCATCAATGCAATTGTTCAATGCTTGGCCAATGCAGCTCCTTTCGTTGAGTGGTTATTAGAGAATTGTACTCTTGATAAATGCACGTGATTTCACTTCTTCTCTATCATACATTCATACAAATCGTTATGTAGCAAAACGGATTCATTACTTTTTGATCGTCCTTTGGCAGATTTTTTTCAAAATAACTTTCGACTGCTCAATGAGCGATAATAAATAATAAATCTATAATATAAATATTTAGACCATTTCTTATGTTGCATACGTGTATGCGATATTGATTATGGTGAAGTCCTTTTTGAAACATATGAACATAGAATAATATCAAGACGAAAATATATTGGGATATTTTGCACATCATTTTCTTACATTAAACATAAGCATTTATTTTGTCGGTTGCTATACTTTATACTTCGTCCTTAATTGCACTCGTGCTTCAGTCAAATAGGTCACTAACATTTTAATAGGAATCGATTGCTAGACAATCGAGAATGAGATAAAGAAAGAAGCCCAGTAATTAATTGATATACATCTAAAGAGTGTTATCGATACAAAGCAATGTAGTTGAATTTATTTTGTAACATACTTTTTATATTTCTTTCTCTTCTAGTGTTATTGTTTTCTCTTATCTTCTCAACAGTAACAGTTTTATTTGAAATCTCATCATATTTTTTATTACATAGCATTTGCGAAACTTTAATAAAAAAAAAGAAAATGATTCAATAATAAAATTCCTTTCTTCTTTTTTATAGTAAGAGAATGATGTGTTTTTGTTAACATATATCATATACGATTTTAGTTTATCGATCAATAATAATACTCAAGCTAAATAGTATCGTCTAACTTGTAAAATATCTTGTCTTAAATTAGTTTTATGCAGGCTTATTATTTTTAGTGAAGAATATGAATCAGAAATAATAGGGTGTGGGTGAATGTTTTATGTTTAGAAGTTATCTATTTTATTTCATTGCCATGTAGTAACTATGTGCACCTGACTGACGTGAGTTGATAGCAATGCTCTTTGATATTTTCATTTCTTTGATACTACATACCCAGAAGAATCACTCCGATAGTAGGATCCGATAAAATCCCAGAGGGAATCCTATCCGATATCATTAAAATGTTAATAAAACCGATGAAATTCCGTTGGATTCCTGGAAACGGATTTACAGTCGGATCCCTGCTGCTGGAATCCGAGAAAAACCTGTGTCGGAATTCAACGGAAACCGACGCTAGCATACAACCCTTGTATTTTTATGGCATCAGATGCTTATTCACTCCTGATTAAGAAAATTGATTTTGTCCGTCGGATCCGACAGCGATTCCTCAACTAGGAATCCGTCAGATTTTTGTCGGAATGTTGGATCCTAAGAGATCCGATTAGTTCACCTGGGATAGTTGTTATTCTTTTAAAGAAAGGATTGATTGCAAAGTAATCGAGTAATAATCGATGTCGTGTTCCATTTTCGATCATTGTATACAATAAATGATATAAAGAAAGTGAAAATATCTGAAGAGAAATAAGTTCATTTTATCATCACACAGGTTATTCTATTTGATAATAGGATCAATGGACACTTTTACTGAATAAAAAAAAAACTCTAACATGTTTTTCATATTTTGATCCTGAAGTGACTGTACTAATAGTTTCAGCTTATATTCGATTGATGTGTAAAATAGGGGTGGCATATTTACTTTACTTTTCGTTTACGTGACTAAAGTAAAGTAACTACTAAAATAATAGTTTGTAGTAAATACATGAGTAAGACATTTAGAGTCTGTTGGGGTAATTCGGATTATTCCAGCGAAAACTGCTATACTCATTTTCTCCATCTCCTGACTCACTTACATTCATGAAAATCAAATGAAACCGTACATTATTCGATAGCACAAACAGTCTTCTATGGGAGCTGAAAGTATCTCGGCGAGTGACTTGACCGTTTTAATAGAATATGCACAACAAGAACACTTCTGCCAACTACCTTAAAACTTGTCTGGGGTACTCCGGATCAGCTAAAAGATTTCGCCTGGGGTAATTCAGATCATGCAAGCTATTTTAGCTGGACATTAGTTATCAAAGCGCTAGCACTTTAACTATTATAAAATCAATTGAAACACCTGAGGCAAAAGTTGTTCATCTTTCTTTGCTTTATCTAACCATGATAAGAGATTTGACTTTTTGTGTTACTGATCGAGATTAATATTAAAAGAAAACGAAATTGAGACAAAAGTTCTTTTAATAGCACACTCCTGTTGTGTTTTCCATACAGAAACGTTTGCTCTGCAAAATGACTTACCAACAAAATTATTCAAGATCATTATTCGTGCGCTATAACGAAATTTATGATGACTTAGAGTTTGATGATTGGTTACAAGTGCTCTCTTTATGTAGTATTGAGATAATGGTTGGAAATCTTAAAATCTCTCATGAATTACCATTTATGATTGTCACTGATGCTTGAAATCTCGCTTTACTGCTATGGGATCTATAGGCTTTTAGTTTTTATGAGCTCAGCGCATTTTAATGTATCATGGAATAATGACAGTGTAGTTTCGTTGTATTAAATTACTAATAGTATCACAAGTAGTATCGTGAGGGTGTGGGTATCATCTTCTACACTAGCATAAGCCCGCACCCACACCGCACACCCTAAGCGCATGTGATTTTTTTACAAAATATTACTACTACATTTTGTAATACTTACTATGTGTTTTATATTGTACCACGATCACCATCGAATTATAATTTTCGGTATTGTACTACATAATTATTTATAAGTCGATATTGCGATATAAATTTCTATAATAAATGTTCGTAATGACAAAAAAATAAGACCAACTATTGTCTCAATTTCGGTTCCAAGAAAAATTTTGTACTATCCTTCAATTAGAGTGTAGGTGTTCGCGTTCTTTCTATTGAAATCCACACCCTCAAGATAGTTCAATCAAAATCCCTCTATTATTCTTGTATAGAAATGAGATTATAGAGTGAGAGTGTAGTTTTATTGTTTAAAAGCAAAGAAAAGGTTAAAATTAGAAGTTACAATTTCTGGAGTAGTTCACTTGGTACTTCCATCTCAATGAATCTCGTTCACTGCGTACAATATCGATAATTACAATTGTTAGGCCCATATAATCCATGCACATAAAATCCATTACACTTCGTTATTGGTATCCAATATATATATATGCAAAATTAGGGGTACCATGGTATGCAAAACCAATAAATGCATTTACCGTTTGACCAACAAATGACGGATACGTTGCATTAGTCCAACCTGTTACATACGTTCCACATGCGTTGCCTTGGGCTGAGTTTGGTGCTGATCCAGCTAGTCGTGTGCCACCAGGACTAATAAATCGAACATATGTTGGAATGTTACTGCTAACATTGTTAAAGAGAGTCGAATCGCAACTCTCACCCGCAGGTGCTGTAGTTAAACGTGTGGCATCGCTAATTGTTGTATAGTTATAACATTGCGGTGGCAGTGTTTCAGTGATAGCAACTAATTTCAAAAGAAGAAGAATCCGTGTGTGATTTTTATCTGAGCTAGTAGAGATGCAGTTGTTTAACCAAAGCGAAATATATTCCGCTATAAATTTTTAAAAATTCAGTCAGTAATGTTGGCTTCAGTTCGGCAAAAAATGCAAACTGATTGCATCTCTCTGAGCTATTTTATAGTCCAATTTTTGTTTAGCTTACCTGTTACTGGTGTGGGAAAAGATACTGATCCAGTTGAAGGAAATAAACTATTGGGTACTGTTTGTACAACTGAATATGATGTTGAAAGAGCCAATCCAATACGATTATTTTGCATATCGAATATATTATAGAAATGTCTCATAAAAAAATCGCCAAGAATCCAAATTGGATTTGAATCCGCATCATTAGCTTTCAGTGATGAAATGACCAAATAACATGTGTACCTAATGGGACCACCGGCAATTTGAATGTACATTAATGTTGTCAATGTAAATGGAACACCACTAATTGTCACTGTTATATTTGGAAATGCTGCTAAAGATTTTGTTTGGCAATCAACAGTGTACTAAAATAAGAAGAACCTAGTTAAGAACTCTCCGCTGTATACGACGGCAGTCGAAAGATATCAGATCAATACATAGAGTCTTTATTTTTCTCTTACATATCCAATCGTTGGATCGTATGTAGCTTCTAACATTGAATTAATCGCGTTTACGTAGGCTGATGGGCCGAGAATAGCGTCTGTTGTTCCGGTATCTAAAATGGCACTAATCGACGTTGCTATTGTAGTTGTTGTTGATCCGATTGATAAGCTAACGCTATCAGCAACAAATTCCCAATAACCTTCTACACTAACAGGCGCATATGTAAAATTGCCTGTATATTTCGATGCGTCATAGCCACCTAAGATTAATTCGCCAGTGTCGTAACCGGTTGACACTCTGATGAATAAAGAAAATAGTATTTAAGAGACAGATTTAAAAATATGAGCTTACGAGTCAAACCAAAAACTGAAAATCGGAAGGCTTAATTCACCGGCCAGATACATCGACCATATTACAGGATTTTCACCACAGGATGAAATTTTTTGATAAGCCATACCCAGAATTCCATCAAATTTACCGGTATTCATACCATTAGCTGAGTTAATAATCGCAAAAGGTTGATTGGCAATCGATATACTACCAAACTGAAAGGCACATGAAACAGAAGATAACGTTGCTCTTGATTTAATCACGCATAAAAATATTTTCTTACAGTTACTGCATCATTCGACCATGTTCCACTTGCACTACTGCCATCACCATATTGAATATAGAACTCTTTATTCCAAAATTTATATGTTGAGGATAGTTGACTATCAAATGTGTGACTACCGCCTATCGTTAGAACGTAAAAATTAGCATTCAATTGACAAGAAAGTTCACTATTTACCGCATGAATTTCCACACTGGGTTCCAGGCACTCAAAGATCAGCGGAACCTGTATCAAAATCAATATCGAATGATTGACCTGGTGTACCAATGGTCACTGAGCCCATCCAAAAAGTCTTTAAATAGACAAAAAGACTGAGAACTTCTTAGTAAATTCCAAACACGTACTCCCGAATTTTCATCCCTTAATACTTCATCCTCCGTGGTAGGTTGAACCGATCGTTTCCTCGTTGTAGGATGCTTTGTTCTATGACATTTATGACCGCCACTACCACTATGACATGTACGATTCTTTTTTTGCAATGCCATACTGAAAAACAAACAGAAAGTAAGACTAATAAAAACTTAACGTTATTAAAAATTTCTAAAGATATACCGCTTGACTCCATTACTCAGAGAAGACAAAGTAAGTCCGACAGCCACAGCAACTCCATTTTGTTTAAAACTGAAAATGAACATTAATAACGAGTATATTGATAAGAGTATAAATTTTTTCATCTTGATGCTTTTCTGAAGAATACAAAAAATGAAACGATTCAAAATCAATTCGAACTAACCACTACGGAGACTGTCAAGCACAACAAGAAAGAAGCAACGGGTTTCGAAACTATTTCTAATCCAAACAACATTTATTCTTGTCTGGACTTTTGAATGGAATTCAAATTTTAATACATGGTAAACTATATTCGGTAAGCTATTCTTCTCTTGTTCTTTCAATTCCGACTGACTTCGTATAAAACATAAACGACACATTTCATTTACCATAGCGATTTAACATGTAAAACTTACATTTGCACAAAGAATATAATTTTTTAAGTACTGAAGTGTTTCAACTGAACGAAAAGAGGTATATATATATATATGAGAACAAAAAACAGCCTCCTGTGTTCTATACGAAAAATAAAATATGAGCGCCATATGCAACCAACTACGCAGCTATCGTAAACGAAGTGAGAAGGAAAGCAATGTAGTCATATTGTACCGTAAGTACGATAGAAAACTTTTCGTTTGGTTTGTTTTTGAATAATAATAAAAGAATCGATTCAATGATTTATCATTTACGTTGGATGTATACTGGATCGTGCGAAAAGAGTGCTACTCTTGATATGCGATGAATTGGAAGAGAGAATAGAATTCTAATGTTACTTTTCTTTTTTTAAAATGTCTTGTTGATTATAACGAATCTGTATCAAACTCAAATCTAATCATAAGTTTCTTTTTTTTCATTGCAAGCCGACAATAATTGACTTACAGTTAAAATGCAAATAAATAATTCATTTTTATCAGTTTCATCAATTTGATTTGAAGTTTTACTTGTTAAATTATTGATAGCAATCAAATGTTCTTTTTTTAATTGAATGTGTATAGTTACAATACCAATGCAATTTTCTTAAACATACAATAACATAAAACGAACGATATTTTCTTAATTGCACAAGACTAAAATAAACAACGAAGCACCAAATCTAATCAATTCTCTTTCATATTTCTTTCAAAGTTGAAAAACTATTACTGGTGATGACAATTTCAATCAATAAAACGTTCACTCCCTCGTTTAAACGATATTAAAAAGTCAAAATTTCTTGTGTAAATTCGACCTCTAGTGTATTTATTAAAACGTAGTCATTATTATATATACAAAAATAAAGCAAAAAAAACTAAAGTAAGTCCTAAATAACTAAATTTTCACCACCATAAATATAAATTATAATTAATATACTTAATAGAGTAATTTTCAAGTAGCTTTTCTGATTTTATCATTGTATTGATTTCTTTTAAGCACACCTTTGATATATAGTCAGTGCATAAGTAAAATAAATGTTGTGTTTTATTTCTGTTCAATTCATTTCAGTTTCGAGAGATTTTAATTGTAGAAATAGATTAACAATAAATTCAAGTGCATTTAATGAATATCGGCCACGAGGAATCAAAGATTCTGTTTTATTTATCTTGGATGCATACTCAAAAATGTAATGTTGTTGAATAAAATCTAAATTATTCTGATGCAGACCTAATGTGTCAAATTGTAATGTATATAAATTAGATGTAAAGAACAACAATCGAAGAATATCTTCCAATGGTATAAGATACGGTTCAAGAAGAATTTTTGTCAATTGTTCCAATCGAATTATAGAATTAACATGTCACACAGTCGAACCGTTCCAATGATCGAAGAATAATGTAAATATCAATTGTTTAACATTAAGAAAACAATTAGCATAATTATCATTTATGTCACTACAAATATATAGATGATTAATTGACTCAAAATTTTTTTTCTTGATTCTGTGAACCACATTGCTCGTCTGATGTGCAATAATACGTACAATTGTTTTTTCTAAAAGAAAAAAAAATATGAATAGAAGAAAAAAAAACTAACAGATAAATATCAAATTCTAGTTCGTTTCGAATCATTTGAGATTTCGTATGTACATTCATAAATAATGCGTCACAATTGAAAAGGGAAACCAGATCTTAAAAATCTGTTAGTAAAACGGTGTCATTGGAATCAACGAGGCATCTTGATTGAATCTATGGGGTGCCACGAAGTGATTAGGGTAAGGGAAGTTATTTTTAAAAATGAAAAGAGAATGCTAGAAATTTGAGCTGAATTGTTAAACGATAAGTAATTAAAAGAATACTATTTATTGTTTGTTCATGTGTTTAATTGAAAATATTGCAAAAGATTACAAAAACTGCATTCAACGATTAGTTTCATTTTTTAACTAGTTCTTAATCTGCTCTTTACAATCTTCATTTTTGGTGTGGGTGTGGGTGTGAAGTGGGGTGGGATGTGTACGAATATGAGGCGCTGACACCCACACCCACACCCACACATTTTTAGGATCAATTTGCCACGTAGATTCAAAAAAACAAAATTTTACAACTGCAGTAAATTTCTTATAGGAACAGTGAGGAAGTTCTTCAAAAAGAATGAGATTTTTTAAAAATTGAATTTTTTCGAGTTTTCGTTACTATGCACTAGGTTTTCTCAAATATGCTGTATATATTCGGATTCAACACGTCAAATTGTACGTAAAAATGTATAAAAAAAATAAAAATAAAAAGTGCTTCAATTTTGCGTTTCTTGCACCTTACATCAATAAAGTTATATATATATATATATATATACAATAGATCGAATATCCATGCATGTTGTTTGGATCATGTTACTTGTTGTTTAAATTGCATGAATAGTGAGGATTCTGACGAAACATGTTCACAGATTCAATGAACAACTTCATCGAATAAAATTCTTCTCTCTAATAAAAACCAAGAATTCACATGCACCGATCACAGATTGCATGCTAATATTGGCGTTTGTTCAAAAACTTGATGCATTTAATCACATCCGTTTTTCATACAGATGTTTTTACCATTCTGATATAAACAGCAATGATTAAAAGGCTCCTTTTACATTTTCGTCATGACAATATCGTATTTACTAATTCATAGACCTGATAAAAAATATCATTTAACAGTCAAGACGAAAAACAACATGTCTTTGCCGAAAATAAGACAAATGTAGCAACATGCAGTTTCTGTTATCAGTAACAATTACCGATCAAATTATATTCCATTTCTTTCATTACTAATGCCAGGTATTCAATAGTAGCTGTGACAATACTTTAATCAAAACTCTTGTCATTAGTCAGAAACAATCATGAGTGTCTCATTTGCAAGATTGTGGCATTTTATTTTAATGGTAACTTATACTGCAATTTGTATCCCTATTGTTACAGTGCGTTCTACTGTAACGTATATCTCGATTCTATCTATTCTCTTTTCTTTCCTTTTCCTTTCTCTCTCTCCGTTTTCCTCTATTTTCTTGTCTCTGCTTTCGTGTGCGTATATAAGCATATGTTTTCTAAAAGAATAAACAGAGAGATAATAAAGCACACATATTTAAAGTGTTCGTGGATCTTCGTGAGCGAGAACGTTAACATCTATAATTATAAATATGCACGCAGACAAACAATAGCTAGTGAATCATAATCTTTCTTTTCTAATTTCAGGCTTACATAACAAGTATTAGTAGTTATCAAGCAATCGTTCCAAACGATACAACTAATATCATAGTTCAGAACAATCGTTTAATCATAGATTCAAACAAATTGCCAAACTCAGGTTAGAGATTAGTATTTTCAACTACTTTCCCTGTATCACCTAAAGTGATACAATACATAAGAGAACAAATTCAAACCTACAAGAAAATTTAAATGACTTCGTTGTGATGCTAAGTGACTTTGGGAGTACCATACTCGCAAAACAGCAAAAAAATCGACCAGAAAACGGAACCCTATATTTTGATGAGGCCTAAAGGAAGCTTTGTCCCAAAATTTTCTGAAATCTTTACTATCATTTCGCCAATAGACGATACGGTGAAAGTATTAAATGATAGTACTGTCGTCATGCCAACAACTCCAACAACAACTTCTCGTAATATATCCACTGCCCCTGCCGCTACCACCGACACAGCAATTCCAGAAACTACTGATGCTATTACCACAACCACTACTACCAGCACCACCACCAGTGCAATAAAAACAACTACCACGACTACTACTAGTACCACCACCACAACAACAACAACTACCACGACTACTACTAGTACTAGTACTAGTACTAGTACTACTACTACTAGTACTACTACTACTACTACTACTACTACTACTAGTAATAGTACTACTACTAGTACTACTACTACTAGTACTACTACTACTACTACTACTACTACTAGTAATAGTACTAGTACTACTACTACTAGTAGTAGTACCACAACAACGACTACTACTAGTACCACAACAACGACTACTACTAGTACCACAACAACGACTACTACTAGTACCACAACAACAACAACAACAACAACAACAACAACAACAACAACAACAACAACAAGTATGTATCTTTATTTTGTCTCTTAGCAGTTAGTGGGTGAGAAACTCAGACATCGATGATGAAGTGATATTTCAGAATTCGCTGATTTTTTATGTTGTAGAGAGCAATGAATTTAGCATTTCGTGAAATTTTGAGCCCGATTGGATTATCCTTTTCAATGTGAAGAATCGAAAAACTAACGGAGTTTCTGAGGATTTTTAACATTGATTTTTTTACGGGATTTGGGGCCACTTCCTAAAGTAAAAGTGACTTTTCTATGTCAATATGTTAGATTTTTGACTTCTTGTGTTTCGAACTTTAACTATTGAGGAGTTTTCTTTCTGCATAAAAAGATTCATAAGTTGTCGTGAATCGCATAGGAGCATTGGAAGCCCCTTCGAGAAGCCTATTTTGTCGTTTTTTCTGTGTTTTTATACCAAGATGTGGGTGAGTCACATTTGATGCGGCAATAACCAATCGTTCTGATATTTTCACTGGTGATAGAGCACATTAAGTTCTACCACCCAGGGGTATCTTCAAAGGGGAAACAGCTAAAATCTGATTTTTTTGATTTTTGATTTCTTGTTCTGAGTTTTTTCTTGATGTTTTGATTTTCCTCCTGACTTTTCTAATCTGAAACCAACTGGTTTGAAGCGAAGAAAATCAAAAGAATCAGATTTCAGCTATTTTACTCCAGATTGATGTTTTGAAGAGCAAAGATTAAAAATTTTATCATTTTCATTGATTTTTCTGATGTTATGTTTTCGATGTTTTTTGATTTTTGTTTTTGATTTAAATCAAAAAAATCAGTTGTTTCCCCCTTAGATATCTTACAATTTTGCCGATTGAGAAAAGTAAGCATGTTTGATTAAAACATACTTTCTTTTCTTATGGGCCAACCCATATGAGACGCGACCCAGGTCACAGAAAATCTGCTTAATCAAAGTGTTTAGAATCTGCTCGATTTAGAATACTCTTATAGAGTGAAGAGTTTATGAACTTCCATGCAAACAGCTTTGAAAAGTATTGCACTTTTTGATTTGTTATAGATGTTTTTCAAAAAGTAGCAAAAATCAGCTTATTGACCAGCTAGGGTCTTCATGAGTTATAGCCGAGATAAAATTTTCACTTCAAAATAATGAGCTACTAAGCTTTTATGACTCATTCAATATGAGCGAAAATTCGCATTTTAAGCAACTTTGGAACTTCTTCACTCGTTAGAGGAGCAAAATGAAGGTCTAGAGTTTTCGCTGGAACTAGCACTTATTGCGATGAAGGTTTCCAAAAAATTTCATTTTTCCATGCCTCTCATTTTGACCAATAGGATTCTCCGAAAATCGTTTTTTCATGAAAATCGTGATTTTCAGACGGACTTTTGTCTGAAGAAACCCGATTGTTGGAGGAGTGAGTCTTGGAAGTTGGAAGAGCTATCTGAGCTGTATAACTTCATGCAAAAACCAATCTGCACCATCCAGAAATGGCTTGGAGCAAACTAGTTCCTGTCACTCAGAAGTCCTTTCACCAAATGACCCTTTTTTTTACAAAATCAGTATTTTGGCATAGGTAGATTTTTAAGAAGATAAGTCCCACAAAGATCGAGCTCATGCTACATTAAAGAACACTCTGGGTACTAAAACATTTTGTAAAAATCGACTGGACAACTTGTAGAACAGTCTTGTAAATTTTACCACAAAATACTAAAAATGACGCATTTCAATTAGTGTATACGGCCGTTTAGTCAAAAATTTATAGAACGGATTGATGAGTTGAAATAAATTCTATCCATTTAAAATCTGTGCATCATCCACTATTGAAATTCATTCAAGAACTCTCTGCACGCCAAGAAAACGTTTTTTTAAATAGCGTTACTGCGTAAACCCTTGGAGGGGGCTGGAATTTTATTGGAAAACCTTTTTTGTTTAAAAGGAATCTCTTTTGAATGCCAATAGAAGATAATGCGCTGATTTTAAGCGTATAGAATTTATTTCAATACATGGGTCTATGCTATAAACTTCTGAATGATACTCAATATACAATTATTGAAATGTGTCATTTTTGCTATTTCGTGGTGGAGTTTCCAAGACTGCTCTACAAGCTGTTCAGTCGATTTCGACACAATGTTTGAGTTACCATTGTGTTCTTTAATGTAGCATGATTTCAATCTCTGTATGACTGATTTCCTTAGGAATCTACCTATGCCAAAATCATGATTTTTGCTGAAAACAGTAATTTAGTGAAAAGGCTTCCGAGGCATAGGAATTAGTTGAGCAATTGAATTTTCGATCACAACGAGCATTCCCTGAGGCTAATTCGTGAGTAATATTGTAGATGTCTTGCGTGATCTATTCATGGACATACAGTGTATGAACTGGCCCAAACAGATTATATCAGCTGCAAGCTGTTTCTGAATGGCCCACCCTAATTTTTTCATGAATTTGTACAACTCAGATAGCTTTTTACAACTTTCAAGACTCAGCTTGTTAGTTCTAATATGTATAGAATGAAAGAGAGATATACTAACGAGTGAAAGAGACAAACAGTGTCACTGATGTTATGTGAGAGAACGAAGAAAAAGTGAACTTCGTGGGACTCGAACGCACACCTTCCGCTATCCTGGCAGATGTCCTAACCAGTTAGACTCGAAGAACATCTTAATCTTCGTTTAGCGTTAGTAAGGTACTCTCTAAAAAGAAGGGTATTCTAGGAAACTCAAAATAGGTTTCCGATAGTACCGAAATTCGGAAACGAATTAAAGGTTTCCGAGATTTCCTTCTTCTCGTTCTACATCGAGAACCGCCAGATTGCTATAGCTCCGGTCGATCGTTCCGCCCACTGGATGCTGCAGAAACCGACAGAAAAATCACCGTACCCTGTATGAAACACACGATATCGCTGGAACATGGAAGCAGTATCCCGTCCATAAAATTTTCCGAGTTTTTTCTCATGATTTCCGGTGTATCTTGCCGAAAAACACAGCAAGTTGGTTGGGAAATCATCAAAACAAATCTAGAAAGTTTGCGGCCGAAACACTGCTACCATGTTTTAATGATATCATCTGTTTTCCTACAGGACACAGTGGTTTTCAAGCATCTTTACTGTCAGTGTCTCCAGAATCCGGTGAAAAGCACGATCGACATGGGATGTTGGATCTAAAAAGAAATAACATATTTCATCAGCTTTAACTATTAAAATCGAACTCACTATTAACATTTGTTTATCTGCCGTTTGATCTAAACTTAAACAAAACAAGTAACCATCGCCACTCGACTCACTGAACCCACGAATGCACAACGCAGACGTATTTTCTGTAGATACGGATACCGATAGGAACATTATATAAATTTTGTCCGTCAATAGCAATAGAAATTTCAGCCAAATTCTAAATCTAAAAGAAATCAAAACATCAATGTCCACATCATCTTCAATTGCTAAACTCCTCTGACGCAGAAAAATATTAGCAGATTATGAGATGATAATATATGCTCAACCAATCTATACCCGAATCCTTAGAAAAAAAATTTCAATATAAGGATAAAAAGCATCATTTCCGATCAGTCCAGCTTCTGATCGACGGAAGCTAGAATCAAAAGAATGATGACGAATTCCGATTCCTGGGCATCGATAAACTATTTTAAACTTTCATCAGAATCGGGAACAGAGTAGAAATAAAATGTTGAACTCTGTGATCTGTGGAATGTGGATCAATCCAGGTTGATCGGAGAAAATGTCCTTCTGAGATATTTTGAACTTGGATCATGTTCTGTTTTCTGAAATATTCAGCATTTTTAGAAGTATGAAAATCTATTACAGATTGAAAAAAAACGCGGCAACCAATTTTGGTTTTCCAGAATACTTCTTGAATATTCAGTAGGGTTGGAAACATAAAAGGTTTGCGAATAATGGGTTCGGAAACCAAAAAGGTATTGTCGCATACCGATTCGAATACCAAGTCAGTTTTTCTGGCAATATTAGTTTCCTAGAATACCCTAAGGGTTTCTGAGAATACAGTTTGGTTTCAAGCAACAAGAAAAAGGTTTTGTAGAATACCTTAAGGGCATAGAAATCGGTATTGTGGGAAACCTGAGGGTTTTCCAGGTCTCGGAAGTCAAAAGTGTATTTTTCACAAACGCTTAGAGTTCTCCGAAGCCCTCTCGGAAACGGTTTGGGTTTTGTAGGAAACGTTTTTTTAGAGAGTATAAGTAGGCATCAGAGAGTGCTACAATATGGATAAAATCTAAGAGCGCCTTTGTTTTCTCCCTGTAGGCGATGTATTAAAGTATAATGAAAGAAACTGTCCTGAAATAGATAGAACAGTATTGTTTTGTGATAAAAATTAACAGTTCCGTCGTGTTTCACATTTTAATCCAGAAGGGATTGCACTAGCAGCTTTCTCAATGGCTAAAACTGAAAGATATCCTAGGTGATAGAACTTGATGTGCTCTATCACCAGTGAAAATACAGAGCGATTGGTTGTTGCCGCATCAAATGCGAGTAACCGACATTTTGGTATAAAAACAGAAAAAACGACAAAATAGGCTTTTCGAAGGGACTTCCAATGCTCCTATGCGATTCACGAAAACTTATGAATCTTTTTATGCAGAAAGAAAACTCCTCAATAGTTAAAGTTCGAAACACAACAAGTCAAAAATCTAACATATTGACATAGAAAAGTCATTTTTACTAAAACAAATGATCTTAAAATCGTTTAACAAATGAATACTAAAAATCCTCAAAAATTCCGTTAATATTTCGAGTTTTTGTATTGGAAATGATAATCCAATCGTGCTGAAAATTTCAGGAAACACTAAATTTATTGCTCTCCATAACAAAAAAATCAGTGAATTCTGAAATATGACTCCATTGTCGATGTAGTCTGGCGACTGATTTTCTCAGAGACTTACTCTTAAAGCATTCAGTAATTAATAACCATCTATTGCTTTCTTATAACAATTAAAATTGCTCTTATATTAACAAAGATTTACTATTAGCACTCGAGGCATTAACGCCATCAAAATCATGGGTTGCCGTATTTCCAGTGATAGCTGGTATTGGTGTCATCATTGGCTTAGCTATATGGAAACGAACTTTGATCAAACGATGGTGGATAAGCTTAAGAAATCAAAATACTGGGTAGAAATATTATTTCATGATAGTTTTCATTATCCAATGGCACCTTTTTTAGACAACCGGCAGCTAAACGGTAAAATAGAATGAAATTCTTGCTTTTTCTTTCCTAGGAATAAAGTGGAAAATATTTTCTGAATCAATGTGTCTATTGTTATAGCAACTTGGCAATATATGAAATTGAAGGGCAGCGGTGAGCTCTTTTTTTATCATTAGAATTTCTTAAAATAAAAGTTTCTTCTTAGCAAATATTTTTTTTTGATTATTAAATTAATCCTTAAAAACCATATCATTTAGACCAAAGCCACTTTCGGACTACATTAATATGACGGACGAAAATATGAAAACCATACATGCTGAATATCAAGTTAGTGAAAAGAATATGACAGAATAAATAGTGATGTCATTGTATCACCCATTATGTTGCCTGCTAGAAACCACAATATGCCTTTTTGTACAAGTATCATCTAGTTCGCTTTCTAGCAGTTAATAATAAAATAAAACGTAGAATGTTTGATATAATTAAAACTAAAAGCGTAATCGTCAACTTAACGAGATTAGCATATATATTTTTCTGTAGACCTTATATGAGATCCAAATATTGATTATTATAAACAGGAATTGGAAACAATATCTCCACAATATCGTCAATCATTCTACGAATCTGAGTATGCTTCTTTCGACAGATATAAGAATATTCCTGCTCGAGAACTTTGTATGTGAATTGGATTTCTTTTTGAAAAATATAATTCGTATGCTATATTAGGGAGTGCAACTGCTGTTCGATTGACTGATTTACATCGAACTTATGATTACATAAATGCAAATGAAATCCATGTAATATAGATTTATTTGAAGAATTTCAAAGAATACATATCTTTGAAAATAGGGACTCGGCAGTAAAAACCGATACATTGCTTGTCAGGGTCCATTAGCAAACACTTGTGAAGATTTCTGGGATATGGTTATTCAATATGGTGTAAATAAAATAGTCATGCTAACGAAACTTGAAGAACAAAATCCTAATGAACCGGAACAAACTATAGTAATATTGATTATTCTGAAGAAGAAAAAAGAAAATCATTCTCTTTTAGTCAAAATGCTATCGTTATTTCCCTGAAAAGAACAAAGATAAATTAACATTTAATAGATTATCTGTTCAAGTATTAAATATTGAATCAAAGGCAGATATGAATCTAGAAATTCGTCTTCTACTAATTAAAGATGTACTCGATGTATTTTCTTTTTCTTTGGATTATTGAATAGGATTTATTTTTAAGGGTACCAAGGAATATCGTGTTTTTCATTATTATTTCACTGGTTGGCCAGATTTTAGTACTATTCAACCGAGAGATTTATTGCAGCTTATTGAGTTTATTAATAATCATGGCGAAATTACAGTCATTCAAGTGGAAAAATCAAATAAAAAATCATTAAATCCGATTGTCGTTCACTGCAGGTTTAAATTTATTTATTAATATTCAATAAAAAGAAATGAATTTATTATGCTTTTCATTGTATTTTAGTGCTGGTGTTGGCCGAACAGGTACTTATATTGCAGTGGACATTATGATGGGTTTAATTGACCAATCAAAAAATCATCTTTCATTAATGAAACTTGATATTATGGGTATTGTTTATCAGTTAAGACAAGATCGAGGGAAAATGGTACAAACTAGGGTAATGATGCGTGTGATATCTATGCTGGCATTTGTTTTTTCTTTCCTTCTAGGATCAATATGTACTGGTCAATCTTTGTGTAGAGGAATATTTACGACGAACCAATCGAATAAATGATGGTAAGATATTCTATAAAATTCATGCGGCAGCAGTTTTTAAGCAAAATCTTTTCGAATTCTTACTGCTCCATTGAATCGAGTCTATAAGGATTATGTGGATGTCAGAAATATCAACTTCGATCAGATTGCATTTTATGAGACATCTGAAATCCTGTTAGTCACCAAAATATTTGAATGCATCGTTCAGAATGTATTTCGTCACTTGAGAACATCTTCAGAATATATTTTAGAAATAAAAAATTGTCTCTTATCTAGTTTTGAAACAAACACAAATATACAAAAATATTTCTGATCAATTGGCAGGATCATCATCTCGCACTAATCTGGTTCGTAGCAAGAGCGCAATTACATAACTGTGACACCATCGCCTGTGGTCGAACACGATTGTTTCTATTCAGATTATTTTTGACACAATTTTAATTATTTTCATTTATATGATGATCGCTATAAAAGTTCATAAATCATCACACAATTTGCTTTGTTAACTATCTTGAGGGTGTTGGTATAGATTGAAAGAAGATCCACATCCTGTAAGGGTAAGAGCAAGCATATTGTCGTCCATGAATGTCACTAGATGACTACTATCTGTTTTCGTTTCTTGTTATTGGTTACTGTTATTTCACGTTTTATTGGGCACATTGATATCAGATGTGTTCTTTTATCATCATCCTTGGCTATATTATTTTCAGTTTTATTACTGCTAATAAAATTTCACCTAACCATCACCATCTATCCTTTGCCATGAGTTCAAAATTCGTTGGATGCGTTTTTATAATAAGATTTCTGATTCCTTGCTCAAGCCAAGATTTTGATTCGTGTGTGGGTGTTAGAAAATCATTGATATCGTCTGATGCATTATATGATCAACAAAATCAAAAAATGAACCATCTGATAATCAAGTGTATAATTAAAGTTGAATTCACGTTAAGGCCTTTAACAAAGTAATGTGATTTGTCGATAATAATTTCGGCGAAGATTAAAAAGAGCAGGCAGTGGTTCTCTGTTGTGGAGTATAGAAAAAATTGTTTTCATCGGATGAATCTATTGATAAGAAAATCTATCTACTTCGCTTCTTTGAAAGAAGAAATCAATCGGTGCATGTTTTTCTCTTTTGGATTCATTCCAACAAACCCACTGCCAATACGTTGATAACGTTCACTTTGTTACGCTATCAAAAGCTTGTCTACCTACGTGCGTAGTAATGATAGTAGGTCACTTGCTTTACCATATGATTTCTTCCACATTTTGAAATGTTTGAAATGAGCAGTGAAGGACAGCGTAAAAATATTCTATGTTTAATGATAGTTGAAACAGATATTTTGAATTTGGTAGAGCATTATTCAGTTTTTGTGATTACGGTAGATGACAGAATGAATGATTCAAATAAAACTGGATTTTTCTCTATCGTTCTTCTTGAGATCAATCCCATTATGATATGACACTCATTTTCTCTTTGATTGGAAAATATACAGACGTTATGATGCCGATCGTCATTTTTCAAGGCAAAACTTTGAGGATGTGGACTTGTGTGTGGTGTTCGTTCACACAGTAAACCAACCCACCCACTCACACTCTCAACGCATCATTTACTATAAACGCCAAACCCGAAATCTTGTTACAAATATTTAGATGATCGATAAGATATTCAGGCATTCGATAAGACACTCAGATATTCGGATACTCGATCCGATATTTACACAAGTCATTGAAATTAATAAAATTCCCTCCCACAGTTTGACACGAGAGTAGTCGTGCTCGTGGAATTTTTAATGATTAAAAATGGCATCCAAAAAAAAGATTATTGTTCTGTGTAACGATGCCTCAAAATACTGAACAGGAAGCAATAGGCAACATTATGTTGCGGAAATCGAATATCTCACTATCGTAACCAAGATATTCAAGAATTATAAGTTGGAATACCGTAGGTAAAATTCAATACAATACTGTTGTTTACTTTCTTTGATTTACGACAAACGTACAAAAAAGAAGCAAGGCGAACATCTCGTTGCTTTCCTAATGATATTTAATAATTTAAAGTCTTTTTTTTTGAATCGCTGACACCATGTGTACGACGCACCTTGGTATAGCAAATTCACTTTTTGCCAAGTGAAGATTATCATAAAGTTTCTTGTCTTACGAGAGTCAATACAACTGATAAAAGAGTGTATATAAAATTTAATGCAATCCTGTTTTTTACTTCCTTTTATTTGCCCTATTTTAATATTATTCAGAAAGAAAAGATATGTTCGTCGTGTTTCGATAGGTAAATGGTTCTTATTGCTGATTAAAGTATATATTTTCTTTTCTATTTGTTCGTCGAAAATCAAAGGAGATAAAAAAATATTCGTTAAGATTTAAAATATCTGAATTCAGATTTCGAGCTTCGCACTACTATCATGCACAAGAAGCAGAATAAATCAACATAAAATACCTTCGATCGATTAATGCATTAATCGCATCTGACAAAATTATAATCGCAGTTTTATTAAATGAAAATATCATACGCAAGAGAAAACAATAACTAGTCGATATTATCTCATCCTTGGTTTTTCCCAGAAACGAATAACCCCATATTTTTCCTATTAGATGACCTTTTTTTATTCTTGTTTGATCTTAATATTTTCGGAGCTATTGATTTATCACTACATGTTTCAAGAGCAATCCAAAACTGCACATTAAGCCACATAGGAACAGTGTAGCGAAAGTTAGAAACGCAAGAGAGAGCTTTAACACAGCCAGTATGATAAACGCGATCAAAATGGAGACAATAATTATGAGTACAACAGCCAATCCAACTTTTCTGTGTCCGACATGAAACGTAAATGCGAAGATAATTGCAAAAAGACCAATTAGACCGGAGCAAAGACCTAATTGATTGAGAACATTGAGTGATGATTGGTGGCCGATAATCCAGCCATAACACCAAGCAAATGAACCGTTAAAATTTGAAAAATTTCCAACACGACCCGGTTGACAAGGATAACTGGCTATCGGTGATGATAGTATGGTTGTATCTGGGAAGATAAAACAGTCCATTAGATACATAGGACACGGTTCATCATCCGTCATAGTTTCAATGGACAGAAAAAGCCCATTGAATAGTAATACAGGCATCAACGAGAGAATAATACCTGTTACGATAACAAACAGCCATTCGATTTTCGAGTACTGTCTGCATGATTTATTCAAAACAATGTCATAAATAACGATAGTCATCGATTCTCTCTGTTTGTCGTGAAAATAGATACCGAATATACGTTCGATTAAAAATAGTTTCGAAGAGTATGGTAGTAGAAGAACTATGACAATAGTAATCACTATCAAAGCAATAGATATGCCTACGTTTGCACCAACGTAAGCGCTGTACGACCAAGACATCTGCATGAAAAAAAAGTAGCTAAATATTCACTAATAACGACAAAATATGTTTGAAGTCGCATTTAATCGATATCTCAACTTATATATGCTTCTCTGTTCTTTTTCTTTTCTACAGCCAAACATGCCCGCGAACCTTTGCCAAACCATGATGAAGCTGTTTAATATTGTTCCCTATGACAAAAAAAAATCATAGCGTTATTTTGTAACGTTTGTCGTAACGATCATCTGGCACATTGGGTATCGCCCTTAATTGTGCAATCGTGATTCTAAGCAAACATGATTAATTAATGGTCTTTTAGTTATCTATTTTTATTGAGAACTCAAACAAGCCGAAATCAACTCAATGATGATACATTACTAATTTGAATTTTTAGGTTCTATTTCGATTGGTGCTACTTTATGTGCACATGGATTCTTTTTGTTATTCTCCCTACAACGAATCGACGAGTTATCATGGAGTACATTTCACAACATTGAAAAAAAACCATTAGCATATATTCAATCGCATTCTCTTATCATGATGCATAATTACAAAACGACATTTTGGCTAGAGTCATTATTCATGACGTATCGATACAGCAGCTTATTGGTTTGAGACAGCAAGTTTTTCATTTAATCCTGTTTCATTCAAGCTTCGTTCGCTAATACTTTAAACTTTAAAAGATCGGATTTTATAAAAGAGAAAATGATTTTAATAACCTAAATGTAAACGTAAGTTGATAGTTCAGAAGTACAAGTAGGGGTGGCAGTCAGTCTTTATTTGATAAAGTAGATTTCTTTAACTTTAGTTTACCCAGTAAATTAAAGTTAAGTTAAGTAAAGTAAAAATTTATAATTCAAATTTTGTCCCATTTCTCACCTCAGCATGATGCATCTATAATGCTACAAACTATCGAAACATTTTCAGTATACATAAGTGGAACCAACACAAGACTAAACTAAAACAATATCGAGTTTTTAAACAATAAAAAAAAGATTCTCTTTTTCGAACTTGATCTCACTGTAGGGGTGTGAGTAAGCTGTAATCAGGCTCAATTCTATACCCACACCTTCAATAAAATTCCAAGTAAGCATATTTTTGCCGTTTATGAAAGATCAGACTACGGGCTATCTCTCTCCCTACATTCATCTCAATTTCGATCACTCCGATCAAAAACGATTTTATTTTTAGGGAGACGGGGCCTTAACTGTGGAATTGACAAGAACTTTGATTATTGTATCGAATCAAAATGACAATTAACATGCAATTCATTCGTATATATATATATAATATGCATTCATTAGCTTGGCTATTTTAAGATATTTTACAATGAGAAAAACACACCGTACTGATTTTCTCCTATATCCTTAGATATCTAGAAGGAATTGGATCAATACAACATAGTCAATTGAGCCTGCCTTCTACTGATCTGCTTGCTCGATCATCTCATCAACTTCATTCTCCGTTAGTTCGCTGTATTCATTGATCTAAAGAAAACAAAAAGAAAATGTATTAATAAATTGTTTCATGACTTTTATTTCTACAAATCATTTAAGCTCAACTACATTTTTTTGTTCGATTTTAATTTTTAGTGAATAAACCGAATGTTGCATGGAGTTCTTCTAAATCATGTGAATCAATCAATAAAACTGTATTTCATTAGCAGACAATCGCGAACCTTGGAGAAAACAAAAGAGAGAAAAAATCCAAAAAGAGATTTTCTTTTCTTAGCTTTATAATAAATATTTGTTATTGAAGCTACTTGAACAATATCTTCTGTGCTGACATATCCATTCGAGTGTGTATCTATATGAATGCAAGCTGATTGGAAATCGTCAATTTCCTGGTGACAATTCAATAGGTAATGATAAATTCAATTTCTGATTCATTGATTCACTCATTCTCAAAAATATGCAACTATAGATAGCCTATACATTCAGCTCATTTTTTACTTCTGTACGGGTACTTATGTAGCATTTGCATATCTTCTTGGCTTTTTAAAAACAAATATCGCCTACATGCTAAAGAAATACGAAAATGATGAGCAGAAGAGAGAAGTACTTTTTTCTCGTCATACGTAAATATATACGATCATAAACAGAAAAAAAAATTACAACAACCTGATATGATCGTAAACGGTCGCATACGACAACATATACTATCGTTTTATACTGTTTACGGCCCAAGGGTGTGGGTGTAGGGTGCAATGATGACAGATGTATGAGTGACTGTTGTGAAGTTGATGAACGGTACACTCACGTGCGCACATCTCCGCAACCAGTCATTCATATCCCACCCACATATCTAAGCACAGTTACAATCAAAGTCACACCCTATATCTACTAGCCACCCGGCAATAAAGGCCCTTGATGATGCAATTGTTCTGTGTTTCTAGTCTTTTCCTGATCGATTGGAGTCGATGCTTGATCGACATGCTCGTACAAGTTCTCACTTGCCGATTTTTTTCTAGCATAGATTCAGCCGGACTGCTTTCTGTATTTCATCAACTTTATGCATGTTTTCCTTCCATTGGTGTATCTGAGTTTGTTTTCTAAGCGGAACCAATAAATAAGAGAGAGATATGATTGTCTACAAGTAACCAATGCGCTCAGAACCACGCAAGAATTTCAATTAGAAGCAGAATTATGAACCACAGAGTTTAAACTTAGCATCTCTGTTCGTGTTGGTAATGTCGTAGGACTGGCTACTATGTGCCGGCTATCTATAGCCAGACTTTGCTTCTTATTTGTTTAGCTAGTGATAACCGCTTTGGCCAGACGCAGTATCTCAGGCAATCAGTGGACAGCGAATTTGGGTGAGGGCAAGCATTTCAGACGAGACCAAAACTTCACACTGACACATCTGCACCCAGACCCACGCCCAAACTCAAGACACTTGAGATAGCAATATGATTTAGAAATCTAATTTCCCATCAGCAGCAGTAGCAATGATAGTATCATTTTATGTTTTGTGAAGGTTAGATGTAATCCTGTATCTTTAGATATTCACAATAGATTGATAAAAAAAAGGGTTTTTTCCTCCAAAAGTCATTATAGTACGAATATTACTACACTGCATAGTGCGCTTGAGAAAAATTGCTTTCTGTGATATTTGATCCTATTTCAAGTGACACGATAATATACGTATTTTTCTATCATAGGCAACTGTTATACCATTCACGATTTCATATTTTTCACAATAATTTTCTACAGAAACAAGATGGAGATGTGTAATTTTCATCGGTCAATAGTTTCTTATCAAAAACGAAACAGCCAATAACTTTTTACAATACTAATGATAACATTATTTTCACAGGGGTTGATTAAAACCTTGTTAAAAAACTTTTACCAAACGAACGAAGGCACTTTCATCGGCTTTTTCGAACGATGAGGATCATATCTCTCCAACGTTTTCTATAGAAATTGATTGCGAGAAATATGAAATAAGTCGTGCTTGGTATTGCAGTTGTATATGATAGAAAAACAGTTGTTATCGAAATTTAATTTAATATGATCAAATATCACAGAAAGAAACCTACTTTAATACTTTCATCAACGAGAAGTGCATATTGAACTAACAGATCTGAATACTTTTCGCATATATTTCTTTATTCAATCTGAGACTACTCATGCATGTGTTACTGATTGTAATAAAGACTAGCGCGGTATATGTGTGACAACGATATCTATCCTGCACACAGCTGAAAACGAAAATTTGAAGCAAATTTGGTGACTTCAACGACATCAGTCATAGTGATTGTGAGAATACTTGTATCTTGTATCAACTGTGTCGAAATTCAGCACAGCTGCATGTGTTGATTAGTTTAAGACAAAATAAAGTTGAAGTAAGATCAACAAAATAACTATAGACACATCAATAGTTTTAGAAAGAAAACATATAGTTGAAGACTATAAAGATCTTTCCTTGTCATGAACTATGCTCAAATCGGAATGGCATGGCATCAATTTTGTTTCGAATTGAAAACTTTAATTCGTTGTGCAAAACTATACATTTTTTAGATGCACTTCTATTTCAATTATTACAAAAAGAAAGATTTTGTTTTAGATCGAACTATTAGAACTGCATAGTTGATAGACTACAGATAAACGTATGTGTGTAATTTACAATATCAAAGGCCACTGTTGAGTATAAAAACTTTGAATCAACTAGGACACAGTTCAAAATGGTTCACCCAACAGAATTTAGTGAGTGGGTCTCACACGACACACTCTAGAGCGAGCCGCTTCAATCGTTGTGTTTGATGACGACTTTTCTGCTTTCAGGATTAGTTTTCCGAGCAAAGTTAAATTGTGAAGAACGCGTCTCAGAACGATATCGAATTTCTAATTATCGAAGGCTCAAGTCATGTGTTTTTACTTTTGACAAATGTGAACAAGATTGAGTATTCATTCGATATTTTAAAAAAATGTGCATTGCCACTGTTGCGCTTCATTTTAACGCAAGCAATGCCTAACTTCCTTATTTTCATTTAGTTTCTTGATAGGTCAAGTCAAATCTCAAATATGCAATGGTATGGCTCAATATGAACGATGTTCGACAAATGCTGGCTGTGCCTGTTTACATATCCCAGGCCCTATTAGCGTCGGCATTTGTAGCTATCTATCATCCATCACAGTTTGCTCTCAACTAGTGAAATGTGGTAACAATAACCGTTGTTATGCACCTAACCATGAATGTCTTTATCATCCAAAATGTCAGAGTACACCTATTTGTTTTCCAGTACAAAGTTTCAATGGAGCACTTTGTCCACTTATAGCAAGTACGTGAGCAATCAGTTGTTTTAACGGTAACGATGTGACTGTGGGTATTTAATAAACAAAGCCACATATATAAAGATATATATCCACAGCCCTCACCTCTATTTTGTGCATAGAGAAATAGGTCTTGAAACAATTGCAGCAATTTAGAGTTAGACCATTACTGTAAAAGTGTAACATCAACATACTTCTACATATAACTTCCGATGTTAGACATAGAGCTACATGATTTTTTTATATGAATTTTCTATGATAATTAATAGCAACGAACGCCACAACTACAACGGCAACTCCGACTACAACTACAACTCGTACTCCTCAAATAGGTAAGCTTTGATTAAACCTTCGTCAAGTAGCTCAATTCTCATGTTTAATCAAGTGTTTATAATGTCTTTTAATGAAATATTACTCTGCGGACTTAGTTAATTGGGCCTTGTTGAACTCAGCTATCTTTTATCATTGTGATCTAGTTTTTCGCAAAAGAAAAAAATAGCGTGAAAAGCCATATTCACTGATTTTCGTCACCCTTGAAGTTCGCAACATTTTTTTGATATATTATTCTAGAAAACGATGTAACGCAGGTATCCCTCAATATGAAAATGTTGTAAATTGAATGAGTGACTTATGATCCCGAGATACATTCAATATTTATTTTGCAGATACAAATATCAATTTCATCCAAGTTCAACATTAGATAGATTAATTTAAACGAGAATGGTCAATAGTTTCTTCGTCGATAAGATAGAACAGCAATTTAAATAGGCAGAGAAATAAAAGCATTTGTTTTTCGAATGAATCTTCGATGAAAATTACATGTGATCACAAAACGCTCCTTATTTCATACAGTTAGTTTGAATTATTTTTCTTTTCGCATATGAGAAATGTGTAGTTTTTCAAAACGATATTTGAAAAAAATATCATCCGAAAAACTATGACAAAATACTACATACCCAATGATGAATAGTTTTTTAAATAAAATTTTACTTTGTCATACCGTGTGTCTCTAAGACGAAGAAATTATTTTTTAGAACCAAAGAGAAAGTAATCCGTTCGGATTGTATGTAATATTAAACATGTGTATAATTGTTAAGTATTGATTTTATTATATGAAATAAATTGAAGAAAATGATGCAACCAGGTGATTACAATATCCTACTATGCACCACTGATGCAAATGAATCGAGCTTACGCTTTGTGCAAATATATTCTAGTTTCTTCGTTCCACATAAATAAAAATCTCAGTTTTCTATGTTGTACACCTTTCTACATTGTATAGTACTAGTTATCAATATAAAAAATATGTCTATTCAAATTAGCTTTTTTCGTTTCATGATCCGTTATTTTTTGACAATCATTAAAAAGACCATAGCTGTGCTGAAAATTGTATAGATTAGGCTAAATTCTATTACAGTTTTGTTTCATTCCTCTAATCATTTTTCAACTAGAAATTAATTTATCTTGAATTCATTGGTAATATCCGCTTTCGTTATGATTGTAAGCATTTAAGCTTGGCAAGATTTTCTCATCAACAGAAGAAAAAATTACTTTTGACTTTCATACTGTTTTTCTCGATTTTTAACTCCCGCAGTAGTCGTATTGTAATTTAAAAGAATGCATTAAAATTCAAGTATTCGGAGTTGTTCTTCAATCTGAAAATACGATGATTTTCTTTATATACTATTAGTATTAAATTATATTCAATCCATTCTATTTTCAGATGACCTATACCTTAGAGTAGGCACAATTGACGAGTCTACAATTTTTATCATAGATCATAATCACCGTGGTTTTTATATCTAGAAATTTCTAAAACGAAATTTTGTTCATATGCAGGTAAAAATGATTCATACAATTTAAAAACAACTTAGGTTCATCATTCTTCTGAGAGTATCATCGCAGTTAGAAAGCGATCAAAACTTATTTTAGAATATAATCTAACTACTATAATCTCATTAACTTTAATAGCTTCTGAAAAAATACTTGTTTTTCAATCTCAAACGACTTATGACTTATCACTCCATAATAAATTCAGACTAGGTGAAATTTTACTAGAATTAAATCAACTGCGATCTATTTCTAACGTAAGATTTCTCAGCTAAATAATTGAAACGAATGACGCGACAATCTTATCTAACTGCAGTAAAATATTGACAATGAATAATTATTCTATAAAAATCTTCTGAATATTTTTAAATTCGTCTTTTTGATATCAAACTAGCTCTTCTAAATTTTATTGATTTAAAGTTGGTTAGAGTTCGATATGGAAATTACTTTAAACATATTTCTGTAGGATTTTAATAGAATCATACAAGAAACTTGATTGTAAGCATTGATATCTGGCATGGCGATTTTTCGTTTTCGACTTGTAATTCTTCCCATTTGCATTTTGCATTTAAAGAGTTCTCTCCAATGTTCTCATGTTTCCTGCCAAAGAAAAAATTTCTTAACAATTTTCTTGAGCTCATCAAAGAAAAAAAAGCAACTAGATGGACAAGGACATTCTGAATCTTTTCCTACTCTCAAGTGAGATCATTCTAACATTGACCATTCTGCTCTGCTACATCAGATTAGTAAAGATTTCTTCAGAGCTCTTTTCACATTTTCAATGTCGACTTTTCTAAGATTGCGAGGTGAGCGAGAGAGATGACGATGATTTCCTTTATTTCTTTTAGTTATACCCACTGTTCCTGCCAATGCCAAATGGACACAGAACGGAATGACTGTTGCTGGAGGCCAAGGGGGCGACAGTGCCAACAATCAACTCTGGGGCCCTGTTGGTCTCTTCGTTGATGATGATCAAACAGTGGTCATTGCTGACTACTGGAATCATCGTATCATGCAATGGAAGAAAGGTGATAAGACGAATGGACAAGTTGTTGCTGGTGGCAAAGGTCAAGGAAATCGATTGGATCAATTGCATTGGCCAATTGATGTACTGATCGACAAAGAGACGGATGGTCTCATTATTTGTGATCAAGAGAATCGACGAGTTGTACGATGGTCTCGTCTTAGTGGTACAACACAAGGAGAAATCCTCATCGACAACATCGACTGTGTTGGATTGACTATGGACGATCAAAGATACCTCTACGTCTCTGACTATGGAAAAGAGGAAATAAAGCGATATGAATTGGGAGACAAGAATGGCACTCTCGTGGCTGGGGAAAATGGCGAAGGTAGTGGTCTAGATCAACTCAGCAATCCGAGATATCTCTTTGTCGATCGACAGCAGAATGTCTATGTGTCAGACGAGACCAATCATCGTGTAATGAAATGGAATAAAGGTGCAAAAGAAGGCATCCTCGTCGCTGGAGGCCAAGGCGAAGGGAATGCTCTGACACAATTGAATTATCCTCAAGGACTCTTCGTTGATACGTTGGGTACACTCTATGTTGCAGACTGGGGAAATGAGCGTATCATGCGTTGGCCTCAAGGAGCGAAACAAGGTACTGTAATTGTGGGTGGAAATGGTCAAGGACTAGGAGCAAATCAGTTACACGGCCCCCTATGGTTTGTCTTCCGATCGATATGGTAATCTCTATGTTGCCGATCGTAATAATAATCGTGTTCAACGATATTCTCTTGAATAGACTCGCGTAAATTATGATTTTTTTTAGCTTTTTCTTTATATGAGTTGTCTCAACGCAAAATATTCACATTCTCTATTGAAATAAAACTTGAACAATATTCTTTGATGTTTTTCTCTATCGATTGACAATGAAATAAAAAAACAATTTGTCTCCCAATATGCAGTAAAACTTCTCTAATCTGAACATTGTCGGGACCGACGGAAAGCATTCAGTATAACGGGGTGATCATATAAGAGGGGCTTAAGCAAAAATAAATCTAAACATTGAGTTTATTACTTTTCATATTCTTTCAAGTGGTTTTTATTATTTTAATACTTAAGATATTTCCAATTCGATTGAGTTTAAATATCACTTGGAGATTTTTTTTAAACAGGCTTAAAAAGCTCTGTATTATGATCAACAGCAGGTGCTTCACCAGAAATAATCCGGAATTGAACATTATACTGAGATCTGAAATGATCAAGTTATTCAGTACTTGCTTTAAAACCACGTGTATCACCTAATTCAATAGCAATATTTCCAGATATTCTTGTAAAATAGGACTAGACATTGGAATTCTCTTTGATCTTTGAGCAATGAACCATTCATAAACATCATCATTGATTGTTTCACCATGATCACCCTTCATCTTCGATTTAACTGTTTATTTCGATTAGATTGATAATCATCAATATATTCATGTTTTTTTAAGAATATTTGAGACAGCACCAATAGAAACTTACAATTTGTCTTTTAACTCTCGATAAAAGAAACAACGCTCACTAACTCTTATCAAAATTAATGTTTGTTCTCATTCACGATCATTCCGAGATGTCATATTTTAATTATGACTGGCAAAGACAAATAACAACTGTCTATTCTTTTTCTTTGCTCTCTTCTCTTCTTCATTTTCACTGTACACCATTTGTGAACGAATCAAACTCACTATAATTGCCATCTTAGCAACAGATACATCCCATGTGAAAATTTCAGCGAAAAAGCTAGCTTAAACTCGCTTAAAAATTCGCTTAAACAGCACCTTTCATCGCACATTTTTAAGCGACTAAAAGTGCTTAAGATCAAACATTTAAGCGCTTTTAACTGATAAAATAGAATATTGAAAAAAGAAACTATTCGCGACTCTGAACTCTTTATGAACGAAATATACTTGAAATAGTGCCAAGTACCATTTTATTTCATTAGCAGCTAAACGATCAATTATTTGAAACAGTTCTGATATATGCCGGAAACTGGTCTCGAACTTTGCTCCTGTAGTCGATCGAATTGGAAGTCAGTAGAAGAAGCCACTTGACTACATTGTCGTACAAATAGATAACTATGAAAGTAAATTATAAATTATACGAAAATAAGATTTCACACTAAGTTGCACCCTTTTGTTTTAGTCGTGCTTCCAATTACAAACTAGAAGAATTTTAATTCTTCTAAATATTTCTGAGTTTGATTACTTTTGCGAAAAAGTTCATTTTAGAAATTGCATAATTAATCTTTTTCTCTTAAAAGAAAATGGGTTTTAAAAATTTCTGCTTCAACACTATCGGGCCAACGGCATGTGAAATCTGATATTAACCTGATTCTATAATTTGTTCTTCAGTATTTTTTATCTTTTTCCGAAAGATTTCGCCATCGAAAAGTATTTTATTTAAGTTTGATGTAATACTTTAACTTTTAGATTTCCCAGTATCAAAAAAAATATGTAACACTAGTAAAAAGGCGAGCGAACTTATCAGATGGTAGCGGTAGATTTAAAGATTGTTCTTCTCAATTAGTTTGAACACTGAAAAATGTACTTTTGATTGTAACTGGTTTGTAAGATGATCTCATTCAGTGATATTTCGTATCAATTTTATCAGCGTGTTATCATCAGTTTCACAAGCTGGTATAAAAAAAAACTAATTATGAGACTTATACACATATTCCAAGCATAATCTTCGATCGCGATTTACGGAACAACCCATATTTTTGTACCACTATCAACAAGAAAATCGCTAAAAAATTATATTGAAAGACTTGTTAAGATTCTCTATCAGCACTGTAAGATGTGTTATAGGAAAGAATTTAAATCTCGATAAAGCACCGATAGTACTATGTTACATAATGAGCATAATTCTGTTCCTTTTTGAAGGGCAATTTCTTAGTATGTAAGAAATTGAATACTTTTACATTAACGTAGGCAAAGTTAGCATGACATTCAAGATTTTCTAGCCTCAATTCATTTATAAACCTGAGTTGAGTTTAAAACTACTTATGCCAGATCCAGCTGTTCAAGCTCTATCGATTGGCATCTATAATATAATAGCAGTCTTGGCGCAAAAACCAACGATATCGTCTGTAATGCCATGTTTTAGATAGTTTCATGCTATAATCATAAGCAAAATAAAAACTACTTTACTTAATGATGACATTATACAACCATATAAAAAGACTTTTTTACAAAAGCTGAACATTAAAAGGGATCTTATTGAGAGTTATTGTGAAGTTTTACTACTAGTAGAATTCTCTTAAAAACTCTGAAGTCTTCTATATTCACAAATGATTCGTGTGCTAAGTACTTTTAATCACTGAATTTAAAAAAATTAGCAGCGAATTCAGGCTTTCTACATAACAAGTAACGCTCGTCGCTTAGACTCGCTTGACCCTCGACTGTATGTCGTGCTCTTCTGATATTATTTATTGCTTTGTAAGCTTCAACAACACTACTCTCCAGTGTTTGAAAAAGAATGGATATGATCTTAGACCCTGACATAAAAATTGATGCTAGATTACTGTATCTTATACACATTTTCACGCTTCTATCTGTCCTGAATTCAACTGAGCACACTGTGACTTAGGGATAAACAGGTCGCTAGAGTTGGTACAATGTATACAATATCATGCTAATACTAATCGTATAGTGCATACAAGCAGNGTACTAAGTACTTTTAATCGCTGAATTAACAAAAAGTGAACAGAGAATTCAGACTTTCTACATAACAAGCGCTTAAAACTGCTTAAATTGGATAAAACTTCAAGAACTCCCAAGTCATTTATTTAATAATTACTTTAAAGTACTTAAGAATAAGAAAATTTTCAGCACCGTTAAGCGAATTCCACACTAAGCCATGATAAGCGCTTAAAAGAATATTTTTAAGCCAAATCAAGCGCTTGGTTCAGAAAAATAACTTTTAATCGCTTAAATCATGCAAACTCAAGTGCTTTTAAGTTATTAAGTTAGAAAAAAGCTATTTTAAGCCGCTTAAAAATAGCTTACAATGGAAAATTTTTTTACATGGGATATTTCAGACATGTGCCACCCTCTGATCTTGTTCACATTGCCGCAGTTAATAAATGCAGTTGTGTGGGTGGGTGTTGGTATAGATTGAAAGAAGACCCACACCCCACACCGACACATTCAAATCTTACTACAGCTCCATCTAGACACGTATATATTAGAATATGTCAACCAAAATTACATCCCAGTTAACTTTTTTTCTGTATGATGATAGCCCAAATAGAGATATAGAGAAAAAAAAAATTTTATTTAATCTTCTTTAAAAAGTAAATTATAATCAAGTTCCTTTCACCACAAAATATAACGAAGTTTTCTTCCTCTACTGCAACTTCGGCCAGTTATAGGTGATACACGACGACTATAGATGACGATTTTGTCAATAATACGAAGTTCAATTTTAGCAACGTTTTTCCTCTCAAGATAATCACGTAAATCCCATAGTCGCTGTTGAAAATTCGAACTACAGTAATGATCAGGCATATTATTGTAAACTTTCTTTGTCGTGATACTTGTTGAAATTTTGTTTGCAAGCAAAGCAATCAATTTGTCTTTATTTGTTACCGTTACTTCAGCGTCATTATCCTTGCTATCAAATGATAAGAGCAGTTTCTTAAAAATTTCAGTAAATATTGGGCCACGATGTTGTGGACAATATTTACGCATTACACCAGCAAATCCTTCAAGTGTCTTACAATTGAGAGCAACATAACTAACAAGACGTATATTCTCCAATGATTCATCAAAACCAATAGTTTCATCTTTACCACCTGAAACATATATAACATAAATTATTAGCCACAAATCTTTTAAAAGTTTTTATACGAAATATATGTTCTATTTCTTTTCATCCCTATATTCATTTTGGTATTATTGGCCCCAACAAGTAAATCAGGGTAATTTCTAATTATTGTTTCTTTTTGTTTTACTTTATGTCAAAGATGCAGAGTGAGTTTCCCAATATCATAACTCTGATCTTTAGAAAATAGAATATATTTCAGCGCTAAACATTGTTTAATAGAAAATATAGAATTATTTTTCCAAGTCTCCTAAACATCACAACTTAGATATGACCCAAAAGTTCGACTTCAGAGAGAAGATTTTCAGCTTAGTCAATTGTATCATCTCTGAAGATCAGGAACTAGCGTAGAAGAGGGCGCCTTAATAATGAAACTTTCTGTTATTAAGTAAGCGTAAGTCACGAGTAAGTCCTAATAATATAATCGGAAATATCACTTGAGAACTACTTATTAATGTTTTATCTAGGTTAATTGCACTTTTTGCTTATCAATGGACTTTCGTAAATATACTTACTTTGTAGTTTTGCATCAATTACAGATAAGATATGGTCTTTATTTGGTAAATTTTGTAACCCTCCACCAGATGTGTCTAAATAAATTAAATAATAAAATATAATTAATAGTTCCCATCTCAAATGTTCATAATCTAAATTAGTTTCAATGTAATCTTCTTTAATTTGACAATAATTAAACATAGTTTTTAGAAAATTGGGTATTGGTAATAGAAAGCTTTTGATATAATCAAGCTCAATTTCATCAAGTATCATAAGACGACGATTTTCATGTTTAATGTTTTCAGCTATTAACTGAATTGGTTCTTGTAATTCATCATGGAAATAATCAATAAAACTTTTTTCAATGTAGTCAGGATCCTTATTTATTTCAGTAGAATTATTTTGATTTTTGGAACTAATTGCTACTGTAAAACGCTTTTCTTTAGAACCGTAGATAAGATTTTCAACAGTTTGTTTTGCTTTCAACGATCTTTTTGTGTAGTTCTTTTGATATTCTTGTCTAAGATATTCATAATAAATGGGTAAGAGAATCGATGTGACATTATTTTTCAAATAACCAATCATCAATGGTGTGCATAAATCATATTCTTCATTACTAACAATAACTTGTCGACTTAATAATTTTTCATATGTTTTCTCACCATGTTTTTCAGCTGTTTTAAATCCTTGTGATTCATTTATAATGAATTGACATACTTTTTCTAGTTCATTAAGAATTTGTTTTTGTCGTTGCGTTTCTGTACGTTGTTGAATTATTTGATAGAGTAATTTTAAAAGACCTACTTCTTGTTGTTTATCATATCCAACACTATCTAATGTATAGAGATACCCGAGCCATATACCTTCAAGTATTCGTATTCGTTTCATATGTTCATCATTGATGTACAATGGTATAACAGCATTTATACGTTCACCTGATAGAGTACCAGTTACATAATAAACTTCGTTTAGAGATGTGAATTCTCCTTGTAATTGTCGATCAGTTTTAGCTACATTGATTGCATTAATAAATGAATCATAGGATATGATAGTATTAGTAAGGCTCAAAAGTGTTAAGCCTTTTGTTGGATTAGTGATGGCTTCTTCATCGCGTTGAACGAGAATACCTAGTAAATGATAGAGAAAAATAAATCGACAATCAATTCTAAGAAGCCTTATTGAGTTATCAATGAACATCGTATGAATCATATCTACTGTTCGGCTAGAAGTTCTACGAAATGTGGGTGTGGGTGTTGTTGTCGATTAATTAAAGATATTGATATTCGTCCACTGCCGCATACATCATTCTTTGATGCGGCACTTTTCTAACCTGACTCCTATATTTCCTGGAAAATCTTGAGTACATTACTATTTACAATATTGTGGTTTTAGAAAGATTAATACGTTTTTGGGATTCACATAGACTGTCGGATATAACACTCATTCATCTATAATCTTATCTATGTTTTGGCGAATTTTAATTTTCTATATTATTTGTTCAAAACTAGTAGTCTTACGAAGGAAAATCCCCAAGTGTTGGCCCGGAGTTTGGAACGAAAATCATATAGGGCTATCAAGTCAAGTATTCTCATCTCAAATATGGTAAAATTTGCTGCTGAGATTGAACCGGTGAAAAAGTTTCAAGAAGAATATTTTTCGATAAAAAACACAGAGGGGCACCACGGGTAGGGGTGGACCAGTTAATTTAATTCGAGTTAATTAACGCTGCTAATTAACTCGAATTAAATTAAATGATCCATCCCTGGAGTGATAATTTTAGGTTAATTCAAAACCAACGTCAGCTAAAAGCGTTAACCGTTAATATTAACAGTTAACGCTGTTAGTTAATTAACACCGTTAATTAACTCGAATTAAATTAAATAGTCCACCCCTACCTGTGGTACCCCTCTGTGTTTTTTTATCGAAAAATATTCTTCTTTAAACTTTTTCATCGGTTCAATCTCAGCAGCAAATTTTCCCATATTTGAGATGAGAATACTTGACTTGATAGCTCTACATAATTTTCGTTTCAAGCTCCGGGTCAGCACTTGGGGACCTTCCCTCGTAAGAAAGCATTAAATAGTTGTTCAGATCAGCTTTCTGCACAAAGGTTTAACGAATAGATGAAAAGCTAAAAATGACTTGATCCCATTATAGATACATGTTGCCGTGGCTAGCCTGCGCTTAGATATTTCCTAATTCAAAATCCTTGTTCCTGATTTAATATTTTCATTTATAATTATTATGCACAGCATGGTTGAGTGGTGATATGGGTGTAAACACGTATTCACTAGTTGCCGAGTTCATACATCGGTGACAACAGCCATATAATGGCCTTGGACAAGTCACTCATGCGTAATTGCCCCGGATATCTCTAACCCGTTAATATGGAGAATAGAAATATTCAACATACGTATATGAGAACCCTACCACGAGTTCGCCCATGAGGATCTCCTGTCAGTCGCAAGTCCGAACTAAAAAATGGAGCGTTGAACAGAAAGGAGTGTAGATGCCGCTGTTTGGAAAACAAAAAAACGATAGAAACGAACTAGGAGCAAAGAGAGGAGAAAACCATGTCGGCTCGGACGTCGCCCGGGTGGCCAAGATCAGCGTCATCTATTGTGTAAGCAGGGCAGAATCGAAAAATTGGCTACTGAAAAGCAAACAACAAGAAATGAGAAGAAGAGAAGCAGAGAAAAATATGAAACCAGCCAAAAGCACGCTAATAGTTGGAACATGAAACGTTCAGACCCTATGGGTAACTGGAAAGCTACAGCTGCTAAGAAGTGAGATGGAGAGGTTCAGATGCGATATTATCTGTATTTCAGAGCTACGCTTGACAGGCAAAGGAGAAACACTAAATATAGACTTCATCTGGTCAGGAGAAAACAACACACATACACGAGGTGTAGGACTGCTGCTACGCATGAAAGTCAGTAAGGCACTTATAGGATACAATTCTGTAAGTGCTCGAGTCATCACGACTGGGTTCAATGCAGTACGATTCAAGATCACAGTAGTACATGCATATGCACCAACATTTGCCTGTTCAGAGGGAGAACTAGAAGCGTTCTACAATACTCTCGAAGGCACACTGGCTAGAATACACACAAAAGATATACTCATCATAACAGGCGACTGGAACGCAAAGGTGGGGAGCGATAATGCAGACTGGAAACGAGTAATGGGAAGATACGGATATGGTGATCGAAATGAAAGAGGAGAGCGTCTGCTAGAATTCGCAACCGCGCATAATCTGTATATATGTAATACGAGATTTGAGCAGAAGTTACAACAAAAATGGGCATCGGTGTCACCAGATGGCACGCATTAGAATATGGTCGATTTAATCCTCATCCGACAAAGATGAAAATCATCGGTCATCAACTGTATATCACTCACTGGTGCTATATAATATAAAACTGAGACTCAAAAGAATGTACAATAAGATGCACCAAAGCTCAAGAATCGATGTGAGTCAACTCAAAAGTGAGGTGATAAATAAAAGTTATAGCGGCACATTGGTATGAAAAATCGAGGAAATCGAGTCGACACATAACATAGACGAATATGCAAGAAAAATAGAAAATGTGATCAAAGAAGCAGCAGAGGCAACCATTCCTGCAAAGAAAACTGTGAAGAAACCTTGAGTATCTGAGGAAACACTGAAATTTGCAGATAAAAACTCCAGCTAAAGCTAAATAAAGATGACTTGAGTCAGAAAAACCAACAATACAAAGACCTCTGCCAGAAAGTAAAAAGGACAGCAAGGCAAGATAAGAAACACTGGATACAGCAGCAGCGCGACGAAGTTCAGAAGGGTCTAACAATCGGAAATACTAGGCAAGCATACAGCCTAATCAAAATGCTACGAAAGAAACTCACCCCTCGAATCAATATAGTAAGAGATCAAAACGGAAGAATACTACAGTCGCAGCAAGAAATTATGAAAAGGTGGACAATATACTGTGAAAACTTGTACAGAAATCACGGAGTTGGTGATAACGTAGTAACAGATCTAACATGAATCATGCCCACAAGCACCGAGGAGTCACAAGAGATTTTGTACTGTGGAGTTGAAGGCGCAATACTTTCAATGAAAAAGAATAAAAGTTCAGGACTAGATGGTATCATAGCAGAAATGTTACAAGCAGGAGGAGAACAACTAACGCGGCTAATTCACAACCTCTGCAACAAAGTATGACAAGATGGTAAGTTCCCCGAAGAATGGAGTCGGTTCACCCTAATACCAATACCGAAGAAAGGAGATTTCAGTGAATGTTCAAACGATCGAACGATCTCCCTCATAAACCATACAGAAAGTACTACTTATCGTGCTGTTCAACTGGCTCAAGCAACAGCTAGAGTCCCACCTCTCAGAAGAACAAGCAGGATTTAAAAAAGACAGAATTACGGTACACTAGATCCTGACACTGAGGTTGATAGCAGAAAAAGGGACGCGCCATGGAAAGAAAATCTACAACTGTTTCATAGGCTTCCAAAAAGCATTCGATACAGTCAAGCACGAAGTTATATGGGATAGAAGAAAAGATTGTGACCTTACTACAAAAGATATACGAAAAAAGCTCAGTCAGCAGTACGAGTAGTGAAAACCCAGGGGGCCTGATTCCGTACAGACCCGACAAGGAGATCCCATGTCACTACTACTGTTCATCGCATACCTCGAGCAACTGATGGACCACGTAAAAGGAAATAAATATGGGATCAGCATTAGTGGAACGCTTGTGAACAACCTCATGTTTGCAGATAATATTGACCTAATAGATGACGAATGCAGTTCCCTGCAGAGCCAACTTGAGATAACTATAATAGCCGCAGAACAAGCTGCGAAGCTACCTGGTACAGTATTAGAAAGTGTTGATAAGCTCGAGTATCTAGGAAGTCTAATAACATGGGATAACAACTGCACCGAAAACATCAGGAGAAGCATAGGCAAAGCAATTGGTGCAATGGCATCCTTGAAGCACGTATGGAAAGGAAAGAAACTCACTGTAGAAAATAAGTTCAGGATTCTAATAGCATGCATCTTTAGTGTACTAATATACGCCTCAGAAACATGGACCCGTAAAGAAACCGATAAAATAAAGCTAGTTTCATTCGAAATGAGATGTTACCGAAGAATCCTAGGAGTCAGCTGGATGTATATGGTCAGAAACGAAGATATAAGGAAGAAGATATCAAGAGAAGAGACCATAGTAGATATAATCAAGAAAAGAAAGTGACGATTGTTCGACCATATCTGTAGAATGAACGATAATAGGCTAGTGAAGCACACAGTATTAGAAAAAATCGACGGGAAACCCCGAAGAGAACGCCCATGTAGAACGTGGCTGGACGATATCAATGATTGGTGTGGACACAGTGGACAGGACCTGTTCCACCTAGCGCAAGACCGAGGGGCATGGAAAAAACTAATCCGTACAGTGGTTGGTCTCAGCGGGCGATAAGCCTATGGGACATCATAAATCATGAATTTAAAGTTATCACCTAAGCATAAAATATTATCGGGTGATTTTCTCATAATTTCATAGATATCATCATTTGAGTAGACATCAACCCAATCTTGTTTCTGTTCTTTAATTTGTTGCCATGTATCCGGTGTTATTGAGTTTTTGTATCCTTGTAATATACCACTAATATCAGTTTTCTTGAAATATTCAATATTTTTATTAACTCGTAAATCTAATTTCTTTTTTCGTTGTGTATTAGAAAATATAGCATCGTGCCGAAGTGCACTCAATTGTAATTTGACATGTTCTGGTACTTGATTCATTTTCATTTGTGTAAATAATTGACGATATTCCATCATACGCTGATCTATTTCTTTATAAATTTGTTCAGCTTCTATTCGCTCCATTAAATTTTGACTATTCGTAATTTGAATCGAATTCAAACTTATTTGTATGGATTTGACTTGTTCTTCATTTTGTGGTGAAACAAGATTAAGTCCGCGTAAATGATCTATGGGACGAATATTTTCTTTTTTAGTTAAAGGAAATTTTGTAGTTGTTTGTGTATCATCCATCACTGTCAATTCAGTAACTTCACTGAGATCATCATCATCACCAGTTAGAAAACCAATTGTTTCATTATCAGTATTATTAACCTGGTAAACTTTACCATTAGATAACTTAACAGTATATTCTCTTATGCTCAGTGCATACTCAAACATGTCATTAAAATTATTTTGTAATTCTTTAGATTGTGCTGAGTAACGAAAAAGACCTGGTCGTGTACCAAATGTTCGTATTTGATTAAGAAACTGATCGTGTACTTCACCAAAACCGATGACATGAAATGTGATAGGACGATACTAAAATGAGCGAAACGCAATGCTACAATGTGATGAAGTCTAATTCATTGCTTCTTTATAATTGACTCATATGAAATAAAATGCTTATAAAAACAAATGGAAATATAGCTCAATAACCTACTAACCATAGATAATATTGTAAACTGAGGTTAGTGAAACGAAGAGGGTGCGGAGTACGGATACACTGCCAAGCTTAACGTTAAAACTGGTGAAAGCTGGTAAGATTACGATAGACATACGGTGATGGCCGGTTTCTTCTAACATTCATACAATTCTCTACAAGAGTGACTCAGTAGCATTAATTTACCGGCCTTCACTGTTTTCTCACCGTTGCATCCGTAATGTAGAGCGGTCATTATGTTGCTGAGATCAATGCTAGCACTTCAATACTTTTTACTGTTAAAACCCTGTAAATCGGTAACGTACTCTCAAATATGGTAAGCTTCAGTTCACAGTAGTTCTATTTGATCCATTGAACTGAGCTTCGTTTCACTGGCTCATCATTGTATTCCTAGAATTTATGTGTACAGACTACTTCTAATTTAAGACAAACTCGACCGCAATATCTTTGATGATTATAACATTATTTCAACTCTTTTTGGAAGCTATAAAACAAGTTGCTTATTTAAATACGTAGCGTGGGTGTGAATGAAGAAAAGAAATAGCCACAGACACACCCTCAATGAATGCTATTACTGCTATTCTGTGATCTAACAGTATATGAGTTGTCCGAACTTTTCGAACACGGTAATATATAATAAGTCATTCATTCGAATAGTGATGCAATTCTGAAATTTTTACAACAATTGTTGCTCGTTAGAATCATTCATTTTTTAGAATTTTAGTGCCAATCCAAAGTCGAAAATGCTTTGTCGATGTGTAAAGATAGAAAAGGAGTATATGTAACTATATCATATAATACTAGATTTTTCATTTGCTTTCACTTTTGATAAACAAACAGAAAATAACTGTATATGCTTCTATTGGGAATCGAGCCCAATATACGATAACTGGTTAGTTGAACCAGTGCTCGAACCATTGAGATATCAAAGCACGAGAAACATAATATTTATTTTTGAATGATATTTAATCATCGAAAGTAAAAGGAACTGAAAAATCAAGTATTGTATGATACGCATAGTCGATTTTTAAGGGATGGAATGGGTTTTTAAATAAACAACAATTTTCTCAAATCAGTAAAATACTACAATACTACCTACTTTTGGCATTCCACTTAAAGCTAATTTTAACATTTCAATACTTTTCTTCAGTATTAGACTGTTTGGTTCATTATCCTGTCCATCAGTCATAAATATGAAAGTTGATGCTTTCTTTGTCGACGAATTTTGTATAAGGTAGTCTTTAATTGCATTAAATATGCATGCAAATGACGTACCGCCACCAGCTGTCAAATCAACATTTTGTTCATATAATGTTTTTAATGTATGCTTTGTATTTGTCTCTGTATTGTATGTAAATAGGCGATACTCTTTTTTTGTACGTTGGTATATGTCACGCAAAACTTCACAAACATTATGTATTGGGCTACCAGACATTGAGCCGCTTATGTCAACACAACAAATTATTTCAGTAGCATTTCCAGCATCATAATTCGTTGCTACCGCTCCTTCGGAATTGGAAAACTTGATTTCGATGTAGTTTTGTTGACTAGAGATCGGAATTTTAAAATATTGTGCCATAGTCACTATTTGATTCAAGTATTATACTAATATGAAAAGTAAGAAATGAATGAAAGACAGGTAAACCTGTTATATATGATAAAGATGCAAAAACATTGTGAAATTTTGAAGCAAAGAGAAAGAATCGAAAAAAGAATGGTAATGAAGAAGATCAATATTTGCTTTTAACTCAAGTGGTTGTTTTGCAATGTAGTTTGATAACATTTTTGAATTTCGAAATAGCTCACGGGGATCTTAGAAAGTATCGTCATTTTATAAGTGTGAATCATTATTAAACACGACAATACGCAAGTCGTTCGATTTGTCGGAAAGATGAAGCCGAGGGGGGGCGAGGATCCTGGTAGATTCTAATGAATTCTCGGATCCATCGAAATCTATCGAGAACCTGATGTGTCATTAAAACTCAACGAGTAGCGTGGGTGTGGGTGTCTGTGTTAGTCTTCTCTTCACCCACACCCTTAAGAATTTCACAGTAGTAATCTACAGAATGCTTTGAATAATAAATAACATTAGCTAAAGCTTGGAAGCTTCCATAGTAGTCATCTTTTTACCAAGCAATTTCCGTTTACTTCCACCTGACTCATATGTAGCAGTTGAATCAGCTGCTTGTTCTCAGTTTCAATGAAATAATATTTGTGACGAGCTCGTGAGAGTAGGATGAGTACGGTATATATCTGATTCCCGTTTTTTTTCATAAATAGACAATGTTCTGAAGATATTAGAAATGCCGTATATTATTATTACGCATGATCAAGTCTTAAAGTGATCCGACATATTTGATATGTATCCAATACATATATGTTTGATACAATGATATCATTGTGTATAGCAAAAACATCCGTCAAGAAATCTCGACTGACTATAAAAGATTTTCGAATGGCGGTCCTATACGTTGAAAAGTAATTTTTTGCATGTTATTCCTTGCGCAATTGCAGGAAACGTACAAGTTTAGCATAAGTATACATCTGAATACTTGTATTTGAGTACGGTTTAATTCAGTACAGATACTATATACCAATGCACTAAGGATTTATTTTGATAGCTTCCATGTAATCGTTTTCTAGAGTCTAAACACGTTCAGAAACAAAGAAGTGTGTTAAGTCGAATTCATTGAGGATCCATTACGATATATTTTCGTAGTTGGCATTTCTAGATTAGAACGACGAATTTATTTTATTTGCTTTTGATAAAGCAAATCTGTATAAGATGTTTATCGTCATACAATTAACGACAAATACTTTCATTATCTTTACGAAACAAAGTAATATCTCCTTTCTATTGGAGGAATAAATCAATGATGTTTCTGAATATGTATAGTAGCATCAAAGTATTCAATGTTATTAACTATTGAAATAGAAGAGAGAAAACAACTAAGAAAAATATTTTCCATATGTTTTCCCATGTTGCGAATACCAGATCAATTTTTGCGGTAAACCGCGGTATTTATCCGTTCTGCGGTAATGAGAGCCGGTAACTGGACCGGTAAAACCGCGGTTAACCGCCGATTTTCATGCGGTTTTTATTGCATGGGTTGTTTTAGTATTATAACATAAAATTGTTTTTAGGCATCTAGAGAAATAGCAACTGTTCGTTTTTCTAATTTTACTTTTGAGCAATAAATGCTTTTGTTGCATTTATCTTTATTGTGTAAATAGATAAGTTTTGCTTTCATTCGCTTTTTATTACAGTGATTTTGCTGACATACATAATACGTATATATTAGGTTATTCCTCCCAGTAGCGGATCCAGAAAATCTGTAAGGGGGTGGCGCTTCTGGCCAAAAAACGGTTTTTCAAGTCTATTTGAGGCATTAAGACTCTAATCTGTTTCATTTCTGCTGAGGAAAATCGAAACAAATTTCTTAAGGGGGTGGCGATCGCCGGGTAGCCTAACTGGTGGATTCGCCACTGATTCCTCCACTGTCTTTCATTTCTTTTTTGATCTCTATTAGAGTTATCTTCTTTTCGTTCTCGTTCTCATTTTTTCCTTTCATGCTATTGTGATATATTGAAATAAATTTGTGCGCGGGCATCTGCACGTATATTACAATATAATTATATATATGTAGTGCACGATAAACAAAAGGAACCAACTCTGAAAAATAGCAATACATATTTTTTAACCAGCCCATCTAAGGATGTTAATCCCATTGAACAATTAGACTTTTATATTAGTGATCCCCAGATGAAAAAAATACGACCCTGTTTCGTTGTATACTACATTAATACTGACAGTGCATGGTCGTAATTCTAGCGTCATATATACGACCGTAAGCGACGTCTTATTTCTCGGCCTGGACAGGGCGGAAAGAAGTGTGACAATAACTAGAAGATCTAGAAATCTTACATCGACTCACATATCAGCATCTAAGATTAATGCTGTTTGAACCTCCAAAGTAGTAAATTATATCGGAAGAACACAGCATACAGTCGAAGGCTTACCGAATCTAGTAGACGAGCATTACTCGTTATACTTGAATCAATGGGACTCTGATATAATTATAAATAAATTATTTAAAAGATTGTCGACGACAATGTTTCGAAAAGTTAGATGAAATATCGATATTCAACATAAACGTTTCAAATCATCTAGTCGCTTGATCGCCTTTGATAAAAATGATTCATCAACATGTCAGTTATTGTGCTTCAATTCAGAAATGAATAATAAAGTTTTAGAATTTCTCTTCTTTTTTTTTCCATTTTGTAACAGTTCTCACCGCTTCTATATGCATCGACTCATATCTTTAGATATATGGCGGTAATCGGTGTCCTTTCCCGCCTTTCGATCTTCCTTTTCTGTAATATGTAACACAATATTTTTAGTAAAACTGTTTTATTTTTACGATGAATACACAAAAACAAACAATTTATTTTCTATTACATTTAAAACAACACTGCTGGCAAACTTGACTAGATCAATATCAATACATCATTAATTTCTCAAAGCGATTCTTTGAACGACATTTTGTTGAGTGTTTTCTATTATATCTTCTAATTTTTTATAATCAGGATGCATAGAACCAGTTTCTTGTAGTCGAACATGCCATGAAAGAGCTTGTTTAAGATCGTGTGGTGTATGTTGACCAAATGAAACATGTTGAGCATGTTGAAAATAATCTCTTAATAGATCTTTGTACATTGGATGAGCACATTTTTCAATAATTAATTTAGCTCGTTCCTTGGGACTTTTAGCACGTAAATCAGCTAAACCTTGTTCGCTAACCATTATTTGAACAGAATGTTCATTATGATCAACATGTGACACCATTGGAACAAATGCTGAAATTTTTCCACCTTTAGCTATTGATGGAGTCATAAATATTGAGCAATACTATAAACAAAAATAAAAAAATACAATTATCAATCAGAAAAAAATTCTTACAGCATTTCTAGTAAAATCTCCGCTTCCACCAATTCCATTCATCATAGAAGACCCAAGAACATGTGTTGAATTAACATTTCCATAAATATCCGCTTCTAATGCTGTATTCATTGTAATAAGACCGATTCGACGAATCACTTCTGGATTATTCGATATTTCCATTGGACGTAAAATAAACTTTGACTTGAGATCATGTAATTGTTCATGAAAGCGTTTTTGTCCTTCTGGTGAAAACGTTAATGCTGTTGTTGATGCAAAACGAAGTTTATCACTATCAAGTAAATCAAATATTGAATCTTGTATTACTTCAGTATACATTTCAATAGCTTTAAACCGATTATCTCGAGCTGCAATGAATTTTATTCAATTTTTATTCTGTAATCAAATAACAAAAAAGAATGATTATCATTTACCTATACACGCCAAAACAGCATTAGCTACGTTGCCAACACCCGATTGAAATGGAAGTAAACTTTTTGGAATTCCTGTAATTATTTATTTAAATCAATTATAAATAGTTGAAAAAAAACAAAACTCACTGTCATGCTTTATTTCGTGAAGAATAAATTCAAGAATATGATTTGCTATTTTAAAACTGGCCTCATCAGGTTTTTTAAAACCTTAATTATATTGCTTATTATTAAAATATATAAATAAATAGTAAATTACCTGGAGATGAATCATATTCATTTGTTAAAACGATTCCTTTTATTTTCTCAGGATTAACACGAACATATGGTGTGCCTGTAAATAAATTCTGTTTAGCAATAATTAAACAATGAGAATTGATCATCTCGATAGAACATTAAAAATAATTTTCAAACACTTTTAAAATTTAATTCTATTTAAAATACTTGAAAATTTTGATAATTCTAACAAAAAATAGAGTTTTTTTCCTTAACTTCTTCGTAAATCTGCACTTGTGTAGCTTGTAAATACATGAGTCATGTATCTTATTTTCATAGATAGTGACATATTAACAAATGATTATCTTTATTCTAGTTCGAGAATAAGACTTACCAATTCTATCATCAACATAATCAATATTAATTGGTCTTCCAGTATGAAGCTCAGGTAAATATATATCATGAAGACCTTTCATTTCTAATGGATGTGCTTCATTTAATTCAATATAAATATCTTTAGCTAAAGCTAAATATGTTGCACTCATTCCACTTGAATTAGTTAAATAAATTCTACCATCAGCAGTGACATCACAAGCTTCAATCACAGCAACATCAATTGATGGGAATATTCCTTCTCGAATATACTTGCTAACATGGCTTAAATGCATATCAATATAATTTAATTTTCCTTTATTAATTAAACTTCTAATATCGGGGTGTGATTGATAGGGAATTCTTAATTTTAATCTCCCTGTACGTGCTAAAACTCCGTCAAGTTCATCACCAGTCGATGCGCCAGTATATAAATTAATTGAAAACTTTTCTGGATTCTTAGAATTTTCAATTCTTCGAGCAAAGGCACCGGGGACTACTTTTGGATAACCAGCCGGTGTAAAACCAGATGCGCCTAGTGTTACTTTTTCAGGAAGTTTTTCTGCAATATCTTCAGCTGACATTAATTTTGATTTAATAAATGCATTTAGTCGAGATCCACTTGAATAACATCGTTGTGAGGTTTTAATTAAATTACTACGATAAAGCATGCTTTTACCTTGAAAATTTTTATCTGAAAATAAGTTTTTATGTAAGTTAAAAAATGTGAATAATTGCTATTTTTGTTAATCGGACAAATTCGAACCACATATATGAACACTATCAATACTTACACATGAAATGTAATCTTTTTCTAAATGAAACGCAAGCAAACTCTCATCAATAGATCGGACGCGAGTATTTATAGTGGTAGTGGTATATTTTTTTCCTTTTCAATCGGAACTAAAAGTACATTTAACACATATTGATCATGCATACTGTGCGTGCACACATAAATTTCGTGACGTATCCTTCCGTTCCTGATGCGTAGTTGCACGTATTGATCATGCATACAGCGCATGCGCATAGAGTTCGTGACGGGTACGCTTGCCCTTGCAGTTAACTACACGTATTGGTGATGCTTGCTGTCAGTTCGAGATAAATTTGCTTGTTCTGTTTGTTGAGTGCAAAATGTGTACTTCGAATTGCGTAGGAATAACAAACAACAGTCTGTTGTGTATCTTAACATTTTTTTCAATATGTCGCTATTGCTCTCAACAAAAAATATCTCAAATGTAAATGTATATTTGATAAAAATAGATTACCCATTTATAAAGTCTGTTGTAAGTTGAATATTGTTACAAGAAAAAAATTAATAAAAATATTCTTATTGTACTTTAATACTTGATCATACTCACTCATAATGATCGCAAACAATATATTATAATAAATAATCATATTTAAAGATAAATTTAACTAGTACACAGGTATATCAAATAAATATTCGCAGCACTTTTTTTTCGTAGTTAAATACAGATAGAAAAGAATTTTTAATGCTTAATTCTAAACATTACTGTATTTGCTTATTGCATTTGTACTTATCTTACTTCTGCATTGTTTTACTTGATGAATTAGATTTTTTCACTCGTTGTTAGCTTTGATAGACATATTACTTTGTTTGGCCATTGATCAATTCATTATCTGTGCATTATTTAATGTATATTTTTGATAGAATAAATACGATTGAAAATATTCTTTGCATTAATATGTGTAAATGCGGGATGTATTCAAGAGAAGCAACACCAGAAATTAATCAACAAATAGTTACATTTGTATAAATGAGGAAGCACATTTGATTTTTATTAAAATTCAATCGTGTTTTTTTCCATTTAGTACTTTCATGTTGAGACTTGCAAAATTATTTGTTTTGGTGCCCCCACCCCCGGTGTTGGTCCTTTTTTTGTGACTTTGATTTGGATCCAAATTTTGAGGGTAAGCACACGCGTACCTCACACTCGGCCATTCGCGGTAATTTACGAGTAGAATGTTTTTGCGATATTTCGAACGTGAGGGTGTGGGTGGGTGTGTGGGTGTTGTTCAGGGCTTCATTCATACAAAAACCCACACCCACACGGAGCTGAAAGTTTTACCATATCTTCTCCGCTATGATTTCAACATGGTTTGAAAATCTTTTACCACTTGAACGAATCTGAGTTTTGATCGCCTTTTCGAAAGATCTCGAGGCTTAAATGAAATAAAGATGAACGAATATGTACCATAGTTTATAAGTTAGATCAATGCCTTGGTGTAGGGGTGTACAGCTCACGCTCATTTTGAAATGAGCAGCCGTGAGCATGAGGGTTTTCGTTTGTCAATACCCAAAGCTGTAGTCAATTTTACTTCTTTGTAACTAGTGCTACGAACCTCAGAATCACTCATACTCATTCAACCCCCGTGGCCGGTTTTCACTGGTGACCGCTCACGAAAATGAGCGTGAGCTGTAAACCCCTACCTTGGTGACTAGCAACAACAGCTACATCGTATTTCACATTTTTAATTCCAAAATGGATTGGGCTAACAGCTTTCTTTTCTAAACTGTCACGAAGAAGTATGATTATTTTACTTTCGTTATATGTATTAAATTACAACAAAGTTAATAAATATAACTCATGACAATTGATATTTATTTTTAAACATAACTTTTTTCTCGAATATTTATATTTATTTGAAAGAAAATAGAAAATGATATTTCTAGTGAAAATCGTTTTTATATTTTATACTGTTGGCTAATTTATGCTCTTATGATAAATAGGTTCATCGGTGAGAAAACTATGAATTATTGATAGCAGCTGAACTGTCTGAAGAGAAATTTGTCAACGGATCAATTACTTTTCCGTCGTCAATTATTATTTCTTAGCATTTATTTCTTATTGTCACCGATATCTGGCTTGAATTTATATTACACTGATCGATAGGGTGATGCGACATCGCTTCAGTATGATTGCCTTGACTACTATGTGGAGGATAATATTCCCGAATATATTGAAATGGATCTTATCGCTCTTGAACTAATTGCGTATCGTGTACGCTTAGAATATGCAGGTGAACAATCGAAAGCATTCCCTAGAAATTACGTAATTAAAGGAAGTAGGTTTCTTTTTAATGAGTTAGCAAGACAACACATCACCGGAGAACAATTGCTTATTTGGAAAGCCATAATCAACCTTGTTGAACGATATGAAGCCTTTTTGATTGGAGATTCAACTGCAAACAATTCTGATATTTATTATAATTGCACAGATAATTGGTTCGGTAATGTATGCGAATATTCATTTTCTCATAAAAAAAAGGTGAAATTACATTACGAGAAGTTGTTCATAAGACGTTCACACGAAAAAACTTTGCCAGTCCAAAACACGTCCCATGTTATGTACTGTTAAAGGTAAAAACTCAATGTTTAGTCTGAAAGCAATAAAAACAAAAAGATTACAGTATATTGCAATGAATCTTGATCGAGACTATTATACATCAGTTAAACAAAACATTATTTACTAATAAAGCAACTTCCGAGGATGTTTTATCCGCATGGGCGACATATACCATTCCATGAACCTATAATCGATTCAAAGCCTTTTAGTTGACTCGGAAAAAAACTTGGCAGTACAACTCCTGAGAAGAAGCATTATACATTGTCGATGAATTGAATAGCATCTAATACGAAGAATTTGATGTTTCGTAAAGTTTGATATATCAGAGATATTGATTCTATTGTCCAGCTGAATTATCCTCACCTGAAAGAATAGACGATCATTACGAAAGAAAGTCAGAATTAAATGAATTTGTTTAAAGAGTGATTAGTGCTGCTTTCTCGTGTCAAAGTATTCCATAAACAAATATTCTCTAAAACCATAATCGATAGAAAAAAGAGCTGCTTTGAATCAATCCTGAATTAAAATATTTCCAGTCGCTGAATGACTTTAAAAGACTAGAAGAGTATAAATAAGGACCATTCAAATACAAATATTGAATTGGCGGTGAAGCAAACGATATCCTATCCTTCTCAGTATTTCATCGAGAAAAAGAAAAACGTAATCGCACGCGTTGTTCTGGAAAATTGAAAAACTTCAGTTAAAGCGTATGATTTTTCTATCCGACTATACGATGCGTATAAAACAACTCGCATTGAGATCAAAAGTGAAGGGGAAAACGGTGGACTTCAAGTACTTCAAAGTAGCTCGAAATACTATCAGGTAGCCCAAATTAACTTCAAGTACAAATTACGACGTTTCGTCCTTGTAAAATGTATATATACAGTTCAGATTTATATTATAATATCATGACAGAATTTTGTAAATTGTTGTAACCATAAATTTGTTAGCAATGATTTTATTCGTGTTTTTTTATTATTATCTCGATTCTTTGTTCTAATTGATAAGTTAAAAGCCCATATTATCTTTTGTATTTAACTCAATTGAATCTATATCTTAGTGTAATCGTGGTCCATCAGTACTTTGTCTCGATTGGCGCGACATGAGGGGTGGCAGAATTCTCACAACCAGAATGTAAGAATTCTGTATTCACAGCAGAATTTTATTAGAACTTTGCTTGCCAATTAATCATAAGGAATACATAATTCTACTAGAAATTTGCTTGTATTGAACAGCAGAATTGTTGAATTCTGCTAGGTGAGAATTTTGCCACTGCTGTTCGAACTACACCTAACTTGGTTGACGGCAGATATAGTGTTTATGTGAAAATAGACTTTTTCTCCAATGCAGGCTCTTCTTCTTTTATTGGCCATACAATTGCACTTGCGTGCTCGTTCATAGAAACGAAAATAATCTATGGCAGCTATACATTGATCGGTAATCGATAACAAGAAACGTATCATTTTTTAGTTTTAAACAATATGCTTACGTGTTACCAAAAATTTTTGCATTGCTTGCCCTTGATCATATTGAATTGTAGAGCAGTGAATAAAGTATTATTTTCTGAACGCTTTCGATGCACGCCATTTTTTTTGCCGAAACACTTCGTTAGCTTGAAATTTAT